ATAAGAATGGTTTGCACAAAAATGCATTTGAACAGTTTGTTAGGGATATTTGGGTTGGCTTTATTTTAAGGCGAGTATGTGTTGTCGCTTGCCTAACCCGGGCGCGTGCGCTGCTGGAACAATAAAAAGAAGAGAGATACTAGCTCACCGTGAGACCACGCAAATACGCCGCAACCGCATACAGTGAGACCACGTGTATACGCAGCAACCGCATAGTGTCAGAACCGCTCCCACACCCACAATCTTCACGCTCCTGCATCACCGCTACGCCAGGAATACAAACCAGAATTAGACAGAATACCGGATCAAAGGTTGTCGCCTACCGAGAACCACATTCCATTCTTGAACCAGCCGCTATACAGTCCACTCGAATACTCTAACACAGTTCACGTCATAAATGTTTATCAAACTTCAATTATAATACAGTTTTCATAACATTTGAGTTCAAGTTAGTGAGTCCCAAAGTGTCATAAGGGCGACGCGAGATATTCAATTAAACAATTCGGAAATGTTCTTGGAATTTCGAATTCTCGAATTTTAGCACCAACAATCGTGTATGTAGAAACATGAAAATTTAGAAAAAAACCTGATGTATTAAGGGTGCCGCGGAAAAAATCCGATTATTTAGGGAGCCGCAAACTGGAAACCTCTGGTTCAAGTGATATTAAGCTACGTACATTTTGGAACAGAAAACACATCTGGTGTCGATTGGAGTCAAACTCACAACTCGGATAATCTTTATTTGTTCCCAGTACATCTGCCACTTATGTTATATCGTCAAAGGGTGTCCACAGGCTGGAGCTCACAACACAAGTAATTTGGAAGTCAAAAAAGTAAAAATGACCGTTGTTATTCTCTGGTCATGGATATGACATGTTCCACCTCTATACAATAAATGAAACCACGCCACAACTGGTGTTAAGCCTTCTTTGGCAGCTTTTTCAATTTCAAATGACAGAACCCAAAAACATGTAAAACAAAATGACGTTTAAAACGAAAAAAAGTAACAAACTTTTGTTGTGATGTGTCTATCTGCTGTTGACGTCCAAAGCCCATATGAAATCAAAAATTATTTGTGACTACCAGGCCAGACCTAAGACAAATACTTGATGATCTGATCACTGTAATAATGCATTACTTCCATATTTTATGATGTTTACTTACCATCCTTCAGCAATAGCCTACACTGCTCAAGAATTGGCAATGCTCTTAAAGAATGCAGTGACAGAACATGTGATGGCAGAGTAGGTTCCAAAGGTGCTTGTTCTTTATCTTCTGGTATCATGAGTTTTACATATTCTGAATTACTCAAAACCTTTGCCTGACTAAGATCATCTGCGCAATCTGAGATTAATTTCAGTCTTTCTACCTGTTAGGAAAAATAGAGTTCAATAATACCCATTTTAAATCAACAATTTCATGTATTCGGATGGATTAATTCAGGGTCATCCAGATTATGTTTTGCAGCATTTACATCAATAGACAAATTCATGTGGTTATTGTTGTTTTGATTTTGAGGCGAATCTTATAATCAGAAACAATATCTTTTTATTGTTGAATGCTGTAGTTCATAGTTCTATACTTGAATTCAAAAGTTGTTGAATATAATGTAAAGGAAAACAAGGTTGGCACCATAGAATTTGACGTCCAACTTGGCAAAAATTAGAATAAGTTGTAATTTCGTGAAGAAATCCGCAAAGAACTTCATGGATTTAGACGTCGAATTTCTGTTTTACACTTTCGAAATTTGGCCATCAACTCAATTTATGAGGGAGCCTGTGAATTTATTGTCAATGTGAAACGGGTATGAGACATATCTTGAAAATATAACAGCTGTAATAAGATTAAAAGTCTGCTTGAATGAATGAAAACAAACATAAGGCAGATACTTTGAAGAACTTTCATATCTAGGTATTTGCAATATGATCCCTCCATATATTAAATGTTCCACGTTAAATATTTTTATGAAAGATTTTATAGTTTTTCTTTTAAAAATATTCATTACTTACACAACTAGGTGTGCTATGGCTTTCATTCCAATCACATTCTACCCAAGGTTCATCAGCTTTTTTAGTCTGTAAGGCTTTGTAAGTAGGTTGTTTTCTCTCATCAAGAGACTTGAAGCGAACAGTAACCTGTTGGGCACCACTTGGACCTGCATCATCATCTGAATCCTGGTTGGCATCAGTTTCAGTCTTCCTTTTTTGTCCTTTTCCCATATATGGAAATATGGGGCGGAACTGATGAATACCTAAAATGGAATTGACTGTAGATTGTGCTTGGCAAGTTATGCTTCAAGTTATAATTTTGGAACCTTGATGCAAGTGGTTGCAATTTTGAGTCTCAATTACAATAAAAATTGCATCTACTACTAATTTGAGAAATGACCATTTTTTCAAATTCTTACAACATAAGATTAAAATCTGCTTTTACTAAGATTCATTGGCAATTTTTTGTGTGATTATCTCAAACTAGATTCCAACTTATGTGATAATCAAACAACAAATACTATATGATTCAATGACACTGTGTTTTTCCCAGAATGTATACATTTTACTTGTACATTGTAATACAACCAATATCTCCAATTGATTATATGGGTACCAGCTGAAAATGTGTGGCCAGGTATTGACGTCTTCAGTTCCATCAGTATTGAAACAGGGGAATCTATAGATTCAGAGCTCACAGTCCCTCAGAGGAACAGTTTTGGAAGCAAGAAATTCTTTTGGCAGCCGGTCGCAGCCATTGCTTTCATTATTTATACATTTTTTTTATTGTATGAAATGACAAACGATAGAAAGTAGAAAAAGTATAGAAAAATTAACTGACATGGAAACTGCCAGGAAAGTGACGCCAGTGTAGAGACAAAAACCTACATGACCTCAAAAATAATTGAGATACATTATTATATTATTGTATGAAATTGATGAGTTTTGTATTCAACAATTGAAGGGTACAGTGGAAAAAAAATGTTAGGAATTTAGTGTTTTGTAGTTAGAACCGGCAACATGTACACCGTATTTCACGAGTATCCATCACGCTTTAACGTCTACTGGGGTGAACAGCTGATCAGCAAGTGACTTTTTTGCGTTAGTCTGTAATGTTGGCTATAATGAATTGGGTGTAAATGTAGCAAACATTTGTTTGTACCGTTTTGTTTTTTGTATGCAAATAAACTTTTCTAGATAAAAGAACTTTTAGCAAGTACAAAATTAATCTGTAGCATACAAAAAACCAAAACAAAATATGGTTCTGTCTACCTGGCATTGACGGATACTTACTCCTGAAATAGGGGGTAGTCTTAGCGCAGTACAATCCCATGAGGTATTGGAAACACACAAAACAATGATATTTCGTACTTATACCCAATTATAAACTTGCCGTTCACGGAAAAAGATGAATGTCAGAGCCTTTGTATGAAAAAAAGATCAACGTCCACTGATTGTCACCGAAACAATTTATCATACAGCAATCTGCGACGAAATAAATAAACGTTAGGTAATCATTTTCAAGCAGTTTCCATTAATTTTGTTTTGTTTGTTCTATATTCTTTTGAATAAAGATTTTTTGGTTCATTGTTTTTACCTGCCCCAATTAATAATACGTATACTTAGAAATAATCCTGTGTTTGAGCTATTTCTTATGTTCTAAACCCTGTGTAAAAAATTTCCTGTTAAGGTTCTCATATCAGAACAGATCGTAAAACCTAAGATAGGCATTTGGCTGATAAATCAACCCTTAGATTTTACAGGGTATCCCATATGATGAGAGGCTCATTTCTAGCCTCAATATCTCAAAAAGTTGAATTCAGGCATGGAGGCTAACACATAAAAAATGTTTAAAATCATAAGGAGAATCTCAAAAGTAAAAAGGATTTTCTATTAAATGTTATTAAATGTTATCAGAAAATATTTTTTTATTTATAATTTAACTTTTTTTCAATTTCTTATAATAAGGAATCTATGGTACTCTGTCAGATAGTTGACCCACACTGTAGAGTAGAGGAGTCTTCAAATTTTCAATTTCACTTTTCTCAAAAGTTACTTTTTGTGACATTCATCTTTTTTTCCCTGTGCAATACAATTTTTTTTCACATAGTTGCACTAATGTAGCTGTAACTCAAGATTTAAACACCAGAGTAAATACTGAAACCACTGGCAAAAGGGTATCTACTGACACATATGTGCAACTAGGGCATTTCTGGTTTCATAGGCCAAATCGCGCTATGTTGAATTGTCACATTTACAAGAAAATATGCAATTTGAATTATGCCCGGTGAGGGTGACAAAATTGTGAAGAATACATGTTTTTTATGCATTTATACTTTTTAGTGTGTCTTTTCATGAAAACATGTTATAATGTGTATCTAGCAATACAAAGAGTATTCAAATATGTTATCCCAGTTATATATTATATACACATAAGATATACTCATATATAAAGAGGATATAGAGCATTTAATGATATTTATAGTGGAAGTCAGGAATTCGTCATGCCAAGGGAGTATAGATTTTGTTAATTTTCAAGCATAAATCTGTTTCATGCCAAAATCTCAATGGTTACCTTAATTTCATCATATATACCAAATAAAGCATGATATTTCAACTGTTTCAATGATTATTTGAACAATTTGTTGATTTGCTTGCTAAAAATTTTTGTGTGTTTATATAAATTTTGAGCACCTTTATTCATGAGAATAAAGATGTATCTACCAATACAAAAAGTACTTGTATATTGCTACACCAGTTACATAAAGGGTGTTAATACAGTATATAGACAAACTTTAACCATTGAATCCTTGGACAATTAGAAGACTGGATATTGATATGAACATGGGTCTGTAACAGCTTTCTTTTCGAACTAGAGCATTATCACTATCACAGAAATACAAGTAACGTTCCAAATATTTCTATGAATAATGAAACATATTTATTGAACAGTTGGTATAACCTATGATAAATTTTGCATGTTTTACAAGTTGCTGAGGCTCAAAATAAATTAATTCAATTGTTTTCGGGTATGTCATAAGATGCGATTCCACCAGTGTGCTGAACTGTGCGGCACTCTAATGCACAGTGTACGGCACAAATGTTTCTTCTGGTCGACTCACTCACGCAAACAATAGCAAATTGTGCGCGAACATTTTGGAAACGTTCGCGCACACATCAGTTACTTTTGTGCGCGTGCACATACAAGCAGTGGACTCGCGTCGGTGCGTACATACTTGTTGTTCGCGAACTCAGCGTTGCTTCTACTCCTGGAGTGAAAACATTTGTTTGTACGCGCACTTTTTTTATGAAATTAAAAATGGACTGGACGAATGATCAAATTATAAGATTTATTCAAGCAGATGAAACGTATCCTCTTCTATGGGATTCCAGTCACAATGATTATAAGAATAGAAACAAAAAACACGAAGCCACTCAAGAGTTGGCTCAAAGTTTCAATTGTGACTCGACTGAGGTAATGAGAAAATGGAAGATTATTTTGGCTCAATACCGAAGAGAAAAAAAGGAAATATCGGATTCAAAATCTTCAGGTTCTGGGTTTTCAGATGTATATAAGCCAAAATGGTTTGCTTATGCATATTTGAATTTCTTTCATGCAAGGGATGAGCCGAACACAAGCATGAACTCACAAGATGAAATAAATGAACAGGTACATTCAATTTTTTTATTATTTTATAACTTATACTTAGGTATGCTTTTTACGCTAGTGTTTCTTGCCATGTCAGTTTGAAAATAATTTGCTAGTTCTTCCCTTATATCTTTCGCATCGCCAGTTGGTCTTCTTCCGACATTTCTTAATGGTAGTAAGTTTGCCATGGGTGCATCGCGCCGCCAACTTCCATCGATAGCGCTATGGGTAATTCGGTTTTCAGTATCGAAAATGCCAGGAGAAGTGTAAAGCTGTCAAGACGAGTTTTGTGTCATCAAAAAATTTTGCAAATAACAACATGTCAGTGTTATTAATTGTGCCTTTTCAGGAGCTAAAAGCATGGGTTTCCAGAGTACGCGAAATACAGCGGACAAAATCCCAAATATGTACATTTTCCACAATACGTCTCGCTCTGCTCAACCGCTAATTGAATATTCTTTCTTTCGATCTTTTGTCATGTTGACCGGGATATGGTTTCATTAAATTCATATCCAATGCAAAATCATCGTCTGCAACAATGACATATGGAATTGGTGTCTTCCTCCCGGGTAGCGCAGTAGGTTGAGGTAAATTTAAATGTCCTTGCTGAAGATTAACATAGAAACCCGTATTTTTGAAAACACCACCATCCGATATTCTTCCTTTACAACCGACATCTACCTACGTGAATTTATAATTTGCATCGACCAATGCTAAAAGTACAATGCTGAAATCGCCTTTGTAATTAAAAAAGTCACTTCCAGTATTATTTGGAGCTTGTATAACAATATGTTAGCCATCCATAGCCCCAATGCAGTGAGGGAAATTCCAATGTTTTTCAAATTGACGTTCTATCAGCATAAATTCTTCTGCAGGGACGCATTTTCTGTATTTGGTGTCTTGCTTTGCAATATGAGGACTAACTGCATTGACCAGCAACTCAAAACCTTCACACGATATACAAGTAAAATTTTTAAATCCACTTAAGGGATCTACTTTTATTTCTTCTACAAATCTATTCGTTTCTTGATTCCATCGCTGCAGAAAAGGCCTCACCCAACATCGTGGTTTTCTTCTTCGTTTCTGTTTAAGCAGATTACCTATTAAAACACAAGCTGCAGCACAAAACACTATGGAGTTTCACACAAAATGTTTGTAAACAAATGTGCTGAACAATATTTTGGTGGAATCGTACCAATAGATGTCTAGATAAGCACAATGCTTAAATATCAAAAGTATTGCGATCAAAACAAATCAATGTGATGCTATTTTTTCAAAAAATACTGGATAACATTATCTGTATCTACGTACATGGAGGCTCTGAAAACAACTGTAAATCATGTGATATTCACCACAGGGCATACTTAATTAAAATAAAATATGTTCCATTCTTTTATAATTTTTTAAAACAATATCATCATTTCTTTTGGTGCTAATATGCTCTAGCTTGAAAACAAAGCCATTGCGGACCCATTTTCATATGGAAATTTCATCTTCAAATTTACCAAGGATTCGCTGGTTAAAGTTTGTTCTACACACTTTATTAACACCCTGTATACAGAGATAGAGATTTGTTGTTATTTGTAGTTTAAGTCAGGAATGGAGCATGCCAGGGAAGTATACAATTTATCAATTTTCAAGCATATTGTACATGAATCTTAATGGTTTTCTTATTTCCATCATATGTCCCAAAGAGAACAGAACATTGAAATCCCAAATGGTGTATATTTACCCATATAAATTGTTAATTTACGCGTTAATAAATGAAAGAATAATATATACAAGTTACATAAAATGCACAATTTCACAACAGTATCCCTAGGCAAGCATTTGCACCATGTATTATGTTTCTGAAAGAATTTATTTACCTTTAAGAGCTGTAAGATGGATTTCTTTTCCATTATATGTAGCTACAGCATACTTATTAGCTTCTTTGATTGTCTTTTGTGATTGCAAAAGTACCCTATCTATGATTTTATTCTTGAAATGTTCATCTTTATCTGAAGTATCTTGAAATGTTCCTTTTAGTATAAATTCAGCCCTATCAACGTCAAAGTTTGGTGAATCGGTATTGATGGCCAATTCCAGCTGGATCTCTTCATTTTGTGGTTTAACAAAACATTTTCTAATAACTTGTTCATCTTTGGAGTCTTGTCGTTGCAGAGGAAATTGGAATAAGTGTAGGTAATTCTCCAAATGATTTGAATGTATTATTGGTATCTGTAACATACATGTGCATGGTTTAAAACCAGAATTTGATCATAATTCATTCAAAATATTAAGTTAAATTAATAAATACCTCTCTAACAACTGGGTCGTCACCATCATCTGAATCAGTCAATAGAGGTTCTTCCATTTATCTTAATAGTAAAGTAAGTGAACAAAAAAATTAGACAGTAATTAGCATCAACACATGTGTACCTCCACGATCAACAATTTAAGCACATTTGAAAGATTTGAACGAAAACACATCACAAAACATGCACACATGAAAAAGTGACATACCACAACCAAAACAATTCAACTTTTTGACATTTAATTGACAAATCGTCACGTCAATACTTGACAGAGAGGAGAGAAGTCTACAAAATGGAAGTATGAACCGAGCCAGCGCCACCGAGCTGTACGGTAGCGCTCCAGAGGACCGCTGTGCAAACTAGAATAAGCCGTAAGCCTGTTCCATAAACCTCTGCCTTATGTGTTTTGTGACTTCTGCTGTAAACCAAACTGAAGGATGGAAGAATGTGAATCACAGGAACGTTTCCGATTTCGGGATATGCCTTTCGTACTTGTGAAACTTCGATAGACTAGCGTTAATAACTGTATGAGTTTCTCTTGTAATAAAGCTAAGCAAGTGAAATCAATGTATACAAACTTTATTTTCTGCAGGGCTTCTCACAGAATCAGATATCATTTAGGTAGCTACAAAAACATACAATCAGTTGATAATTTCAAATATTTAAGGGCTTTTATAGGTATCATCTAGGTAGAATATTTACAATGAAAATTCAAGAAAAAAGTCGGGATACCTACCTCATTCCAAAAATTGTAGATTTCGCTAGATTTTCAAGCGAAAAATCATGCCTTAGTTCAAGCATTACCTTTTCAGGGAATTTTAGCATGCGGATAAATAATTATTATACAAACATTTAAATTAGAAATGGATTTAGCTTGACAAAAAGAAATTTTATTCAACAGAAAATCTGTACAGCGAATCTTAGCTGTTCGACTGCCAGCAAATATATTTTTATCGTACAATAATATATATATATATATATATATATATATATATATTTATATATATATATATATATATATATATATATATATATATATATATATATATATATATATATATATATATATAAGAAAAAAAGAATGAATGAATAACGAAATTAAATCGGCCACCATGAGGAGCGCTTAAAAGAACCCTTAAGGCCGTACGAGAACCGTGATCATCGCGTTGTTTTGGAACATATTTTCAGATTTTCACATCCGTGTTTTTATGTAATTTCGTGAATATTTTGATATAATTGGTCAAAAACATGAATGATGAAAAACTAATTGAATTTGTACGCGTACATCCCGTGCTGAAGAACCAGTCAAATTCAGAATACAAGGACCTCCGTTTTCTTCTTCTCCATCTTTCGTAGGTGCTAGACGGTCTCTGTCTGTCGAACGCGAAGGAACCACCCGGCGGATCTGTTTCATGCACACGTGTTCCCTCGCCAGAGTCCGTGTGGCGTCCCCCCTTTAGCACCATGGTACCCGATTGATGTTTACGCCTTAGGCCTTCGTGGTAGTTGGAGTATAAAAAAAATCAGAATCAATGCAATCATTGCAAGTTCATCCTTTGAAAAATTTGCCATCTCGACCTCACGTGAACACAGCTGCACTGTCAGAGCACGGAGAAAAATACTGGCCGGTGTGAATTGAAAACACTGTGAGCTCAAGTCAGCGAGAATTCACTGGCACGGCACGGCCCTGTTACGTCACGGCTGACTGTGAATAGACCTTTATACACCCCACGTGCCGCACGGTTGCTACTCGATTGCTAGTGGCGCTGTTTCGGCCGCAAAAACTGCATTCAATGACAGTTGGGCATCCGGTTGCCAACTGCGTTAGCGAATACGAATTTTTTGCTCACCGATCACAGTTGGAAATTTGTACGTAATAAGCCTGCGGGTATTATGTAAGAAAGCTATAAAACGTCAAAAAAAAGATATTGAAATATCATGTTGCAACCTGGTAGTTTTTAGAGTGCAAACAGTCATTCCACGTTTGCTCACTAAGATCGTTGAGAGCGTCCATCTATGGAGGAATAGCTCAACTACACGCATTGTTGATTGCAACTGTTTTGTGACCTCGAGTACCTAATCTGTAGTTTTCATCTCAGAAGAAAGTTGGTTGAATAGCACATAACTCCTACTTTATAAGGAAATCTGTAATGTTAAGGTTTATCACTAAGTTTGTAGCGCCATCTCAGGGACATTCTCCGAACTTTTTATAGAACCTTTACGAACTGTTATAGAACCCTTCAAAAATATCGAATACCTAGCGCCATCTTTGGACTTCCCTATTACACTGTGGCGCTAAATTTGAATTTTATATTCAGATTATATATTATATAAGGTATTTTAGGTAAAATAACGCTCGACCTGATTATATTTTTAAAATGTGTATTTTTTTAATAGAATACATAAAAATAACAGTTATGCAAGTTGTTAGGAATCTAAAAGTAGTCGGTATTACCGATGTACTATCGCGTGCATAAGAAACTTTAGCAGCATCTATTGTTATCAAACATGCATTGCCAGGGATCTCTTATCAGTGTGGCAGTGCCTTGTTATCTCTTTATAAGATAAGGTCGTCAATAGTTCAGGAGATATGCGATGTCCATGTGTTTTCTGTACGTGGTAGTACCTAGGTAAAGTATAAATTAACAATCTTCTTGAGAACAAATGAGTAATTAATTTATAAAAGTAAAAATAGGAACATTTTTAACTAAGTATTAAGTTACTAAAAATAAAACTGAAATATTCTTAATAAATTCAAAAATAAATTTCAAAAAAGGAATATACTGAAAGTAAACTAAATAAAAAATAAAAATAGATACCTTTAGCAGTTGCTGAATTTCTAGAAGGAGTAGTTAAGTTGATGTCTTCAGATAATCCTGCTTTTGGGCTATAGCTTTTAGCCCAGCTTTCACCTATGAATAAAAAAAATAAAAATAAGAGGAGTTGAAAACCGCATACAAATACTTGACTGAATATTATTTTATACATACAAGTTTGAAAATTTATTTGAATGAATTAAATTTAAGTTTTTTTTAAACTAAATACTTGCAAAATATATACTGAAACATACTTACATCTTAAATGTTTTGGGGGAGCTGAATTCAAGTCTTTAGATGAGCCTGGTCTTGGATGTTCTGAAGAATGTTCAATATTTACTAAACGTTTTCCTAATACAGAAGCTTTTCTTTTAGGACTTGTGTGAGTATATTCAGTAGATAGTACTTTGGATGTTACACTTCTCTGTTGCTGAGCCCTCCTGGTTACCTGAAAGTTATTTTTTTTTTGAAAAAGTGTGCCAACTAATAGTTGAAGTAATTATACATACATATTATAGCTCTCACTTTATTAATGTACATTTTGAACAAGTTTCTAATTCATATTTATAAATCTGTCACTATCTAAAGTAAAATAACTATTTTTAAACTTACCTTCTTCATATATAACGTTTTCTTGGACCAACTTGGTGTCTGTTGAAGAACTCTTCAATAGAATTGTATTAAGGGTCTCTCTCATTTTTGCAGCCAACAGATTAGCAATTTTCCTACTACCTTCTTGAGTTTCGGGACTACTCTGAACATTTTCCGAAACCATACTTAAAAAAGAATTGAATTTCATTATATGTTAATAATGCTAGGTAAGTTTTTCAAAAAATTGTGGAAACCGTAAATACTGTGAAAGTTTTTAGGATACCAAAATGCTCGTATCTTCTAATCCTGGTTATTCACTGATTGGTTTATATGTGTAAACAAAGTCAATACTTACTTGAAGATTGAATTTGAGAAAGATGTAATGTAAATTTCTAGCTTTGAATCTCAAGTAGGTGTATTTGAGACAAGAATCCAATGGAATTATTATCAACACAATCATATTATTAGCACACAAATCCTCACTATGCACCAATGCATTGCCGTTTCCTAATGACGTTTAGGCAACACCTACAACTATAAAACTAGTTCATAATGTGTCCATCAGCTAGAGTTAACATCTTGTAGAAAAACCTACATAATGTACAAAAAACGAATCCAATGTCTAAAAAAATCGACATAATGCCACTTTTCAAGATACGCAATAGCCGTGACAAAGTCTGTAAATGGTGAATAGAAAAAGTAATAAATAAGTTTATTTCCACGTCTCATTTCACAAAGAAATGTGTTTTCTTTCAAGCGTATTTGTGGCGAATTAAGTGGTGAGAAATGGCAAATTCAACGGAGATAATCCCGGACGTTTTTGATTAAGTAATAATGAAAAGTGATGGCAAACAAAATCGGATGATCATGTGTTTAAGTAATGATAATCAACGAATGACACATTAAATAGCTACCTAGTGCTATTTTACTTGTTGTGACGAAAACCATTCGCGGCTGATCGCAAAATAATGGGAACTAAAATATTCACTTGACGCAAAATGTAGGTTCAAAAGTCGATTGATAAAGCTGTTGTGCGATATTGTATTTGAGACAGAAATGATCTTCGTTTCCAAAAATTATTGTTAAAATTCTTATGAGGTATGCGTAATTTTTCTAAACAACCCTGTTGGCGCCCGTCCGACACGAATTTGCTCACCGTGGGCTACGATATCTCGTAATTTTCCATTTTACAACACTTTGATACCATTTTTATCCAAGTCCGTGATGACGTAGGGTCGAGTATTGTTGAAGCTTAGCCTATTTTTCAAAAAGGAAGATGATTTATGACAATCACATAGCCTTGATTGTGTACATCACCATGACAAAATTAATGTAAAATCAGTTGTTTCACGTTTCAATCCCATCACATCTGGTGAACATCTCAACACCATCATGGCCTTAAAACACAACAAAATTTCCCGTGAAATATCTCGACAAGTAAGTTTACCCACGTTTTCTCTGACGACTCAATTTAACCATTATTTTTAGGTCAACAGATATTTAACCGTCAAGTCAGATGCATCAATCAAACCCGAACCACAAAATATTCAAAATGACTCAAACTTGCGATACGCTCTATCCAACATCGAAAAACCCAACTTACCGCAGATCGAATTTGCCAAAGATTTTGACGAAGTACCTGAAAAAATGAAGCATTTACAACCATCGATGCTTCCCAGTTTTATAGATCTCCAGCAAACATCGGAGCGGGTAGTTGACAAGTGGGCAGACAGTTTCGTAAAAAGGTAGATGTGCAATCAGTATAAATGATTAATTCCAAGGTATCTTGTACAAAAAAAGCGAAATCCCAAATAAAAGATGCCCAACGAGAGTTAGACATCCGATGATGGATGTAAAGCATGTAATTTTCTTAAGAAAATATTTTTTGTCGTAATGCAACTTTCATCAAACTGTTAATAGGAAATCAGTCTGTCCTATGAAAATCGTAGTCAAATCGTAGCTATCCTGAGTCAAGGCTAGACTTTTTGACGTTTTGTTGGGCAAGCGTATTTACGGGGTGTTATACACATTGCCATCAGGCATTTATATAAAATTGTTGGTTTATGTTTGAAGTTTGTATTATGTGTAATGTAAATTATGAATAATTTGCAGTCACAATACTGAGGAGTGCAATTTCTAGTTTCGGAGTAGCGTGTGCTCACTGAGCGCGCTATTACTCGTCGTTCTATCAAATCTAAATCAGTATTATTCACTGAACATTTTTATGAAAATAAATATCATTCTAGAAATATGCAGCCTCCATTCCCAGAACCACTTAAAGAAATACCTGTATCGAGGCAACCTGAGATCAGAGAGCCTGGAATACGTCTCACGTTGAAACCTAACAAGTTTGGATACACCAGGTATATGTTAAATATCTCTTCTATATGACCTCTACCTCACCGACAAGGGTATTACGTATCATGAAAAGTGACATTATGTCGGTTTTCACATTACATGGGAATTTTGTGACATTGACAGTATGAGCTTTTTTTACAAGATGTCAACTTTTAGAACTAACTGTTGTTCATTTGATGTGCACTCATTCTGTAGCCGTACGTGTTGCCTAAACATCATGGTTTTATGGTGATATCAAGATATCTAAATGATACGAGTATGAAAATATTGTACCATGCTAATTTTGAAAGTGTTCTAAAGTATGGGATTATTTTTTGAGGACGCAATAGGTTTATTCAAAAAATGTTTGTTGTTCAAAAAAGAGCAGTACGTCTGCTAAAGGGACTAAATTTCAATGTAACTTGCAGGGGGGTGTTTAAAAATGAAAAAATCATGACTGTGTATGCCATATATGTGTATGACTGTCTTATATTTTTTTTCAAAAATAAAAATTTATTTGAGCTTTAGGTGCAAACTGTTTATGATACTCGAACAGTCAATGTTACTTATCCAATACACAGATTATCCTCCACAGAAAAAAGCCCTATTTAAATGTGTTTAAAATTTTTTAACAATCTACCAAATGTAATTAAAAACATAAACAGTTTACATAAATTTAAAAAGACTATTAAGCAATTTCTAGTACAGTCAGAGCCTTATAAGTTGAGTCATTTATTTTAACAGTGAGTAGATCTGATCAAAAGAAATGTTTTTTTCCTTTACCATTTTTCTGGTAAAATTAAAGTAACAAAGTTATAGCCCTTTGGAAGTTTGAGTACCGCCCTGTCTCAATAATAATATTATATGCTCGTGTTTGGCGACAACGGATATAATCCGCCGTATCGGTTCATCGCATCGGAAACAAAAAAGCGAAATAATTTGGAACGATGTTTTTACAATTATTTTATTCATTTGTATACAGTCAGTGTCAGTGAATAGTGGTGTCTGTTGCGTGGCTCAAACGAAATAAAAAATGGCACATGTTTATGCGGATCGGTTTCCCAATCGAGTGCAACCAACCCCTCGTGCCTTTGTTAATGTAGTACAACGGGCTCGTGAATCAGGTGACGGCATGCCGGTGCTCCAAGACCTCACGATCAAATACAGGTCCGCACTGAAATACTTGTCGGGAGGATACTTTATAAAACAAGGTAAAATTTTTTTTATAATTTTTTTTTTATTTTTACACACATATTTTGGTTTATCTTCCTTCTACAATCATTATCTGAAAATTAATGACTCAACTTCAAAGTCACCCTGTATAATAGATGAGTTCTATGGGAGTTGTAATAGTATAAGATAGTAGCTGTTATAAGATAAATAACGATGTAACACAAAAAAGGTCTCAGGTAAACTATATACTATAGTTATGGTGACAGTGACGCAACATTTCATTTTGTAGTGGCTATACAATTTTTGTAATGTCATTGTACAATTTGGAATATAGATTATTATTATTATTATTATTATTATTATTATTATTATTATTATTATTATTATTATTATTATTATTATTATTATTATTATTATTATTATTATTATTATTATTATTATTATTATTATTATTATCATAACGCTTCAGCTAGCAATATGTGGCTCCGATGTGATATAAGATCTGCTTCAGAGATTGTACTATTGGAGGTCTAAGCTATAAGTTGTATACTATAGCTGGCAGAAAACGGAAGTGCTTAGGTCCATAGTGCTAATTTGGGTGCTAATAATATGTGTTGATGATGATTCCTTTAGTTTCTTGTCTCAAATACACTTACTTGAAATGTATGTTCTACCTGAAAATTACATATGCAAAGGAGGTGGGTTGATAAGGGCCATTTTTGGCCCATCAGCGAATAGGTGACATATACTTATTTATGAACACTATACTCCATAACATAGAAGAAAACATACTTATTTCAAATGAAATCTGAAATTCGTGGTATAAATAAATTAAATAATTATCTGATTGTTATATATGTTTATTAAACAATAATAAAAAATAATCAGTTTTCATACACTTAATATATTTTTTACTAATCTTCTTCCTTGTCATCTTCATTCGAATCGCTATCAGAGACTATCCTTCAGTGTCATCAGAGGTACTTGTTGAAGTAAGAACTCTTATCCTTACAGAAGATGAAGTGGGATATTGATATTGAACCACGAGGAAAGCATATGATCTGCATTTGAGACACAATTGAGAACCAATCTGCAGATCACAGTTTTTAGATTTCCTAAGTATTGCTATAATGTTTTTGTTCAAGCAGCTACGGAAATCACTGTTTGTTTTTCGCCACGTTTTACAACAATCACACTGGCATCCAGGCATTATTGTTTTATCAAGTTTTTCAATAAACGTTGAACGCGACAGCATAGCACAGTTTCTATACCTTTACTATGTAAATACTTTTCGAGAGCGAAAAATCATGTCTAAACACGCAGCGATTGCAGCGTGACTCACACTCTCCAGCAGAATATATTTCGTATTTTTGGATTGATCCGCTCACTGAACCAATACAAATAAATACTCATATACAAGGTTATAATAAATAGACTCACTGAGCATTGAAGTTAATGTGGTTCATGGAATGCTTCGTAGGGAAAACATGATTCAAGGATCGAAAAACAACAAAAATTCACAAAAAGCGCTAAATACTCTATTTCTGAGCAATAATTTCTGAAGCATATTCCATAATTTATACCGTAAATATCATATAATGAAAAAATACACGTCTTGAAGTTCACAAATAAATTCAATAATAGTCTGGAATCGAACTTTTTATTTCTGAGTGTGTTGTGGGCGAAAAATGGCCCTTATCAACCCACCTCCTTTGCTGAATTTCAAAAGTGAGAGAGATAACAAAAGAAAATTCCTGGTTGGTGAAGTATATATTACAACTAACAGGTAAGAAAATAGGCTACTGACAGGAATATTTATGAAACGTAAAAAGGATGCTATACTGGACATTATTTTCTATTTCCACTCATTTAAATTTCATAGAAATTTATATTGCAATGCAAATGAAAATGTTTTGTGTGTGATGCGCCATTCGTAATTTCTCTGTGATGAGGCTCAATTACACACAACGCGGGTTCCGTGGTGATTTCCCGTATAATGCTTCTCAAAGTTTTTGAAAACGCAAAAAAGCCTGGGAAAATTTAAATTTATAACTTTTAACATAACCTCTTTTTACATAGCAAATATCACGGATTCTGTACACATACAAACCAATATTCAGTGTGTCCCGAAAAGTGTGTGATATTCTACCAGCGGTTTATAGAGCTTAAAATAGGAAGAAAAGTTAAAGACATAGGTCGACAAACGTCCCCTAAGGGCGCTACGGTCTTTTAAAGGGGCTCCCCTGAAGATGGTTTTTCCTTAATATTTCCGAAACGTGTTGAGATAAAGACATAAAATTTGGTATTCTAGCCTAGTTTTTTATGCTGGATTTAAAAATATTAACAATTTTAGACAGTTTTGTTTGGAAGCGTATGTAACAGGGACGGACTCAGGTTATTTTAGCCCCTAAATTTTTGTGTGATTCTATTTTTGAAACTCAATTTTAGATTTTGAAAATTTAGGGTTTTCTACATAAAAAGGTAGTCTTATTGATTATCGATAAATTGTGCCATTTTTGAATAAAATCAAACTAAAAAAGTTGTCACATGATATAATGTGTACTGCGAATTTAAATGAATTGTTCATTATACATAGTTAGCCATGACTGCAAACAAAAGTTGTTTTGATTTGTTATGACTTATTTTGACGTTAAGTTGATATTGTTAGCAGTGTAAAATTACTAGATTAATATCAAACTTCTTATTAAATCGATTTAAAATGCCAAGATTTACAGACAGAGAACTGACTGACATGCATTTTGTGTACGGGTTTTGCAATGGCAGTCCATTGGCAGCCGTAAGAGAATATCAAAGAAGATTTCCCAATCGCATAGTACCTGGACGTCGAATGTTTTCTGATATTCACCGGAATTTGTCAAACCATGGAAGTTTTCAGCGCATGCAGGGCTCAGGAAGGCCACTGGGAAATCATCGTATGGATATTGCCTTAAATATGTTTTAAAATAATCCGCAAATAAGCATACGAAATGTTTCAGAAATTATGGATGTACCTCGATCAATAGTAAGAAAAATTTATGAATACCTATTTGATAGTTATCCTAAAAATAATAATTTTAGAGAGGAAGAATGACAAGAATGCAAGGATTACATCCTTATCATTTGAAACGGGTGCAGCATTTAACGGAGGCAGATCTTTTACCACGAATCGAGTTTTGCTAGTGGATATTAGCAAATGAAAACACTATCCTAGAATATTATGGTCAGATGAGTCAATATTTACTAGGAATGGTGCTTTTAATTTCCATAACATGCATCACTGGTCAGATGAAAATCAAAAATGGCATTTATCGATATTCAATAAGAGTACCTTTTTATGTAGAAAACCCTAAATTTTTAAATTCTAAAATTGAGTTTCAAAAACAGAATCACACAAAAATTTTGGGGCTAAAATAACCTGAGTCCGTCCCTGTTACATACGCTTCCAAACAAAACTGTCTAAAATTGTTAATATTTTTAAATCCAGCATAAAAAACTAGGGTCGAATATCAAATTTTATGTCTTTGTCTCAACACGTTTCGGAAATATTAAGGAAAAACCATCTTTCGGGGAAGCCCCTTTAAAAGACCGTAGCGCCCTTAGGGGACGTTTGTCCACCTATGTTTATATAAACTTTTCTTCCTATTTTAAGCTCTAGAAACCCGCTGGTAGAATATTGCACACTTTTTTCGGGGCACCCTGTATACAATCTTCTTGCTACTTAACGTTGAGTCATTCCTCCAAACATGACGCTTTTCGTGACGCTCAAAGCGCTGATAGCGAGTAAACGCTCAATAAACGATTTGAACACTAGGGACTATAACTTCTTTTTTTTTCGATATGATATACGTATTTTACGTAATAACCATGCAGAACGTTATAACGCCAGTATCCGTAGCCAAACCTAACCTATTGAAATCTCGATTCTGGTGTTGTGTTTTGGTGTCTGTCGCCACTAGTCCCCAAGGCAGGGAGCTACCATTTATTTCATATTTAAATAGGTGAGCTTGGCTACGGATTCTGGGGACGCCACCATGCTATCCTGGTGAGGGAAGGATCTATGGGAATACCAAATGTATGAAAGACTTGGACTACACCCAACAGCGACGTACCCGTTCCATGCAAGACCGACCGTATCGGCCATAATCTTACCGTTGAGTCCCCAAATAATTCTTTTCACGGTTTTTGGCGGTCACAGTAAAGCTGCACAATTTACCTTCATAGATATATCTCCCTCAACATTCATATGCAATCGGTTTTTATGGGCGGACTTTTTTTTATGTAAACTCTCAGACATTAATTTATCTATTTACTTACCCTTCTACAAATAGGCAATTAATGTGTGAGCGCTAACTGGGAAAATAAATTACAAATATGAAACACATGTCAAAACGACACAATACAAAACAGATACAAATATGTGAAATGTTATGTTATAATTGAAACGGTGAGTGGAAAAACGATATAACTCCCAAAAAAGGCATTTTAAACCAAGATAGCCAAAATGTTCTTCAACACAGGATCCTTCTACTGAGCGGAAAAAGCGTACAATATTCACTACGTGCACGCTCCCACGAAGCGATCAGATTTGGCATTGAGTGGAATATTTTTTTTTTTTTTTTTTTTTTTTAACGAGGGGGGAATGCATTTACGCACCATACCATAGCACGAGCTACGACGTGTGTGGGGCTCCAGGGTCTTGAGGAGATCACCTAATACCCACTAAACCCTAAACCTCCGCGTGGCCCGACTCATCAGCGTCTCGGTAGGCCATGTGTTGTGCGTGACCTGCGGTCTGCTACAACGTCTCCTCATGTGTTTCAGTCTCTGGGAACGCCGGGTTGGTTCCCTTTACCTCGCACATTCTATCGATGTCGTTAAGCGATCATCGATAGAGGGTCTGCTAGTTTCTCTTGAAACTCTTGTTTTCGAAAAATCAAGAGTTTCAAGTCCGCTTACCAATATGTTGTTCCTGGTCCTGGTCCTGAAGTGTCCTGGTCCTGGTGGGTCCTGGTCGTGGCGGGTCCTGGTCCTGCAAGTGGAATAACGATATAACTCCCGCTTTTATACTGATTTTCCACTCAACCATGCGCATGGCTCATGTCGCGCAGTCAGCTGATTTTGGACGGTTTGTCAGTAAGCATTCAGCTCGATCGTACCCTGTTTGCAGGTTATGTTAACATTTTCGCGTTTTCTCTTATATTTTACGTGATTAAAATGTCTAGCAGTGAAAGTTCGGATACGAAATGATCGATCGTAAAAGAAGAAAAAGATGTCCTAAAACATGGAAGAGAAATGAAAGGAAGAAAGCTCGTCTTCTTGGAAGCCAATACACAACTAAAACTGGGAAAATAGTCAACAAAAGGGAGGTTAAAGCAGATTGCACGTAAACTTTATTACTATAAAATAACACAATCGTTTGTAACAATATTATATTGTTTTTTTAGATGTAAAAACAAATGCATGACTAAATTTACGATGGAAGAAAAAGAAGCTGTTTTGAGGGCATTATACGAGAAAGGTTCAAAAAACTAACAAGATGTCTATTTACATGGGTTAATGGAATGTAAACCAGTCGTTAGGAAGCGACCAAATAAAGAGGCCAGAGAAAACTCAGGACAGCAAGTTTTTCTTATTACATACGAAAACCTTTAGAGAAACAACGTGTTTGCAAAACAGCCTTTCTTAATCTACATTCAATCTCGAACTCTAGACTGCAACGACTAAATAGATTGTTCGTGTCTCAGAGTTCACCTAGAGATTTACGTGGTACGCATAATAATCGACCTCATACATTACAACCTCAGGTTACTTCCAAAATCCATCATCACATTGAATCGTTTCCACGAAGGACTTCTCACTACAGCTCTAAAGAAATTCACTATCTTGATTCAAATCTTAACGTTAAGACTATGTATAATCTCTTTGTAAAATTACACCCGGAATTAACAAAGATAGTTAAATATGAATTTTACTTAAAATTCTTTAAAGAGAATTTTGCATTAAAATTCGGGAGGAATCAAGTAGATGTATGTGCACAATGCGAGGAATTAACAACAAAACTTAAGGATTCAAATTTAAACGACAACGCTAAGAGAGTTGCTGCTGCCGAATTAATGGTTCATAAGCGTCGAGCTAAAAAATTTTACTCAAAGCTAAAGGAAGTCACTGATCTGTGCCATGAACGAGAAGATGTTGGTGGAATAGTTTTTGACTATATTCAAAATATGCCTCTGCCTGTTATACCTGTCCAGGAAATGTTTTATTACAGGCAACTATGGCTATATGGGTTTGAAAACACGATTTAAAAAAAAAAATGATACTGGACATTTTTATACATACCATGAGGGACAAGCCGCGAAGGGACCCAATGAGGTATGCACGTTTATCAATGATTATGTGCAGAAAATGCCAGCGGAGATTCAAGAGCTGCACATATTTTCGGACGGTTGCCCGGGCCAAAACCGGAATAATACCGTAATAAGATATTTATTAGCACTTGCAGCTTCAAAAAGATTTCGCAAAATTTATCACTACTTCCCATTGCGAGGTCACTCTTTTTTACCGTGCGACAGGGACTTCGGATGTCTTAAGAGAGTGATAAGAAAACATGATCGTATATATCTTCCAGAAGATTATGAAAACATAATGCTCTCTTGCCGCAAAGTAAAGCCGTTTACTGTATCAACATGTTATAAAGATATAACTGACTACAAAACTTGGTGGCCCAAATATTACAAAAAAACTTGTCAATCTTCAGATGAAATAAAATCCAAATTTACACTATCAAATTACAGGCAGTTTACTTATGATAGTTCTACACCTGGATATCTCATCACTAGCGACTATATCGGAGGATTTGTGTCGCAATGTTTTAAATTAATCAAACCTAAAGCCATGCCAACTTTACCAACCAACCCTGCAAATTCAAAGACATTACCAATAAATATAAAGAAAATTGATAATCTAAAAAAAGTCCTGCAATATATGTCGAATATTGGAAATATTGGAATTCTATTACCATATTACTTCATGGGAAACCACCAACGCTGAATGTGAGGCAACTGAGGCGGACTAATAAAACTATTTTTATTGTATTATAGTATATCAAAAATATGTTCTTTTCATCGTATCTAAGTGTATTTAGGTTAAATGTACATTAAATAATAAAAAGCACTCTAATTTGTAGTTTTATTTACTAATTAAATTCATGATTTGAGGCATGTTTAAAGTTGGGCGGAAAAACCGTATAACTCCTAGTGACGTTTTGACATGTATATTATTTATTACAAAAAATAATTGATAATTCACTTTACATTCGTTCAGAGAACTTAATTGTCTACAAACTTGCAATGTATATAATTTTTTGTGATTATCTCAAATTCGTATTTTTGGACTTATATCGTTATTACACTCACCGATTCAATTGTTGTTGACATGCATTTTTACTTCCTATACCGAAACTGACGAGGAAGTATTGTAATCGCGAAAAATATCGAAATTGACATACTGTTTTTTGGATGTTATATGAAATATATATCACGAAAAACCATGTCACTCATTTCCGTCTGCCTGTCCGCTAATTTTATAACCGCCTATAACTTGAGAGTACAGTTCGAATTTTGTTTAAATTTTCACACACTGGTGGAAAAGTTATATAGTTTCTGAAAATCAGTTTAGTGTAATGTAGTTTTTGTAGGGGTTGAAACTTGGGTGTTATACGTTGTAGAGTGATGGGGTCTTCAGTATTAGTCAAACATCTTCTATCATTAGGAAGCTCCGGAAACGAGAAAATATTTAAATATTAAATATTTATCATTTATAAAGGTCACAATACATGTATAATGCGCACATAAGTCAAAGTAACTGCAATGGCTGGCGTCGCGTGCACGGCGCTGACGGTGCAATGGGTTACAAACTCCAACTGGTCTGTGGTGGTGTCGTCACTGACACAGTGCAAAAGGAGATATATTTTAATATTTTAAGAATATTTAGGTATTACGAGTACGTACCACTTCAGCGTTCTGCGATGCTTTAAGATATCTTTGAGCAATAGAAAACTTGTGAACCAAAGTTCGAATCTTATCGCGAGATTAATTCTTCCATCGTTTAGGTAGACGTAGATTTTGAAAATGTATTCAGAGGCGACGGAAATGAAAGACTTATTCGTACAGTAGTCGGTGACTTGTCGGTAATTGTGTCTGGGATCTGGCCGTGTTAATTCCGTCCTCGTATATAGCGTAGCAGAATGAACGGAATTTGTGTGGCGGGATCTTCGACACGATCTGTGACAAGTTGTCGAAAGCTGAACCAACAGAGTTAAAATCCCTGGAACAGTATTACAACGTAATCAGAGATTCCTGCTCATTTTCAGACATTGTTTAGAGGGGATGAAAATTGTAGGTTAAACCCTGATGCGGTAAATGCTTGTAAATTGTTGCATATTTGGTGTCAGTGAAAGACCTTCTAGTATTAAGAAGCTACTGATCTCAGTGATACTATGCAGCTGTTAGACATAATAAGTCACTCATATCTTCCCTATAGCTGCCATGAATATTCAACAGTTATGCTTGTTATACTCAGTATGACAACATATGCTTGTCATGGGCGAGCGGTTTGAGTTTAGCTTTTGTTAATCTTCAACAAGTAACGTAGCAATGGCCGAAGATATAACTACAATGTTGACAGTCTACGTTAAATTTAATATTGTTTTCAGAAAGTGAATGAAAACGACGATCTTCTATAACTCAATTGTGTGTGTGCAAAAGCTACATTAGCGATTGGGTTGCGTAATGTGTAATTTCGTTAGGGAAGTCAGTCTCCGCACAAGGTACATTTAGTCAATGTGTTCTGCCTGACGTAATCACATTATGGTTACGCCACTGCTTGATCGGTACCTCACATCAGGGACAACAAACGAGAGTATCGGTATAGATTTTCTTCCTGGCAGGTCACATTATTAAGAAAAATCCAAAGAGCAAGTGACGCTCATCTTCTGATGATATCCGATATCTTTCGTTCGTTGATGTAATATATTTCCCAAAAAATATTTTCAAACTAAGTCAGAACTCCATCACAGTACAAACGAAAAATGTCTTAAGCCTAATCTTATTTTCCAGAAACTTCCACACAACTACGCATAAGTCTCCATTCAAGACGATAGCCAGGCTGTTTGCTTCGCAGCATAATAGTAAATGTGGAAAAAAGGACGAATGTGAACCAAAGCCGAAGAAATGTAAGAAAAACCTAGAGTGCCCCAACTTTGTAATGGAAAACTGCCCCCCCGCACATTTTAGGATTGGCTGCAAACGAGAATACGAAGAGGTATGTTTTGTATCATAGAATTCTTAGAAGTCGGTTAAATGTTCTTTACAAAAATAAAACGTTCCGCTTGGAATCTGGTGCGATGGCGCCACTAACAAAACAAAACATTAATGAAATAAATAAATCAGTGATATATAAAATTTAGAGAATATATATGTAGAATTTAAAATAACTAATAATTAGAGATTAGATAGGAGCTGGAATTATACGATTAATGTCAACGCACATAAGAAGACGGCCGGAAAAGCATCGAAAAGAATGTTCCACCTGGCAGTACACATCAAAAAGAAATGAGCATCTGTTGGCATTATATACCGCCAACTCACTATCGTAACATCTATGCCTGACAGGTCCCGTGTATTTCGAATCAGACGCTCACCAGGTATCCCAGAAACGGTAAGAGATATGAAGTCGGTTAAATGAAGGAAAAGTTGCACATTTAATTAACTAAGAAAATGGAACTTTTTATTTCTCCTGACTTTATTTGAGATGGGAATCCAAAGTGAAAAGTACCTACATTAAAAGTGAGACTGTCTGCTGTTCAAGATGGCGTAATTAGAATTTCAGTATAAGGTTTCGTCTCTTGTGCTCGATCAACTTTATTTTTTCTTATAGGCGTTATATTGGATTTTTGCATGAGTGAATAGAGCTCTTAATTCTGGTACTAAACATACATTATTTGTCATACATTGACATTGCCAAGCCTCAGTTATTTGAAAAAAAAAACAATTTTCTAAGCAGGCATTGAAAATATCAGTCATTTGTTTCGTACGAGTCATATCATCAGCGAAGCATTCCTTCAGTTTTGATGAACTAGGTATAGGTGAACAGTCCGTTTTTAATGATGTGATGTACGTATCACGACATGTACTGATATAAAACCTCTAATGTCTGAAAAAAACCTTTTTTATATCATCAAAAAATAGTACTGAAAGCATTCAAAACAGAATTACTTTATATAACTAACAAAAGCACATTTTATATCTGCCAGCATTAAGCCGATGCACATATCCTGCATTTAAATACTATCAATCTACAGCTGAGGTGGTTTTCGAAATCAGCATTCGAAACTTCACTTACTCGTGCAAAAATGATTGAGCACAGGAGGCGAATCGTCATATTAAAATTCTAGTTGCGCCATCTTGTAGAGGAGAAAAAGTGGCAATGTTTATTTTGAAATCTTACCCCAAATAAGGTCAGAAGTAAATAAAAACTTTTGGGACAATTCGGTTTTTTCCGTCTATCTCCGAAAATACTCGGAATTGCGAAACTTTGTAAGTTCTATTTCCTTAAATAAAACCGAAACTTTGTCCTTACTCAACCAACTTCGTATCTCTTACCAAGATCCCAATGGTGAGCGTCGAATTTGAAACACTGGGTAATACAGCCATGCTGGTAGATGCCACAGCAAACCGACTCTCCCACAAAGGGTTTAACATCATACTTTACGGAACATAAATTTTCTCCTATCGGTATGTGTACAATATCACTTAAACATTTTCATAAGTAATATCATAAGGGCATCTAATTGTTCCGAAAAAAATCGAAACAACGTTGCTAAGTCATATTTTAACAAGAAGCATGAGTTCTGGGGGCAACAAAAATCAGAATCGAAGACGAGGATTTTTGCACCTGCATGAATGTTTTTTGTTAAAAAAATATTACTTTGCATTGTTTTTTCGACTTTCTTCACAGGAAAAAATTAGATGCCCGAATAGTATTTGACAAGACTATTTCATGAGTAACAGATTATTGTGCATACACATAACTAACAAAACATACTTTACCTATTAAAAACAATATTAAGAAATTTATTGACAATAAAATCAAAAAACTTATTTAGCGTCGTTTTCTGGTGCGCTGGGAGACCATTATTACTTGTTATCAAAGGTATTGTAATTTTTGGTGACAGCAGCTGTCAAGTTTTTCCGCGGGTAAACTCGAAAAGACTGCTGGCAGGTGCAGTCATACAATTTTTCCATCTAGAAACCATTTGTAATACTCAAGCGGAATCGCATGTAGCAACACTCTGTTGCGAGACTCAGTGGAGCAAGTTCGTAAAGATGCAAGGCCACGGCTCACACTGCGATTGAAAAAAATAGCGCGAACTTTTAGCAAGCAACTCAAAATTACACTCTAAAAAAACCTGAATCACAATTTGTCTTTAGTTCACCTCAAAACTAATCCGTGTACCAAGTCGAAAAGCCTAGGTGTTTCCTCTTAAGCTAATACACTTCTGTTTTTCTTTGCTCTTCTCCTTTTTCCTTATCTTTACCTTTCTCTTTTTCCTTGACACTGTCTGGTTTCTGGGAAACCAGGACTGACAGATTCGACTAACGTACATTATACAGTGACAAGGTCCTACTGACCGCCCAGACAAACAAATGACGAATAGGGTAGGTACCATTTGTAATTCAAAATTGCGAGTTTGTGATTGGTAGAAATTAAGACTAGGGAAATAGTCATGTAAAAACGCTGAAATTATCGAAATGGGTCATGAGACACAATACATGCTGCGTTGTAAACTGTAAAAACCATGAAAAACCCATTAAGTACAAAAATTGTATACGTTCCCTTCAGCAACAACGAAATTAGAGCAAAGAAATAAATCGATAGCTGCTGTAAATAGAAAAAGTAAGCAATACTCGTATTAACCAAGTATGATAATAGTGGATATATTTTATTTTTACTATATACTCGTATATATATATATATATATATATACAGGGTGTAAATTTAGTAGTGGATCAACGGAAGTCAGGTGATAGAGGGCCTCAAAACATATCGAATGAACCTCTATATGTATGGTCCGGAATTTTACAGTTCAGGAGATATTTGCAAATTTGCTAGAGGATGTACCTTTGGACGTTTGAAGCCGCATGTATTTTCAATGCAATGGCGCCCCATACCACTTTCTACCGGATGTACGACATTACTTAGACATTGTCTTTCCTGGGCGTTGGATAGGTAGAGGTGGACACATACGATGGCCTCCAAGGTCACCCGATTAATTAAATCCTCTAGATTTTTTTATATGGGGGTTTTATAAGGGGAGATACTATATATCTGAATAATTTTAAGTTGACAATAAGTTGTTAAACATCATGGAGTATACGTTTGATGAATATTCTGATATGGATTTAATATACGGATTGGCAAGATGTAATGCTTTAAAAGCACGAAGATTATATGCTGACAGATTCTCTAATAGGCACCAGTCTAATTCAAAGATTACGAGAAACATTTAAGAAATGATTATTGCCTTATTTTGAGTAGTAAAAACCATTTGGGTTTTAGGTAGTTTTGCTCAAAATATGCTGCACTGTACGTACAGCTGAACTCGAAGAAAATGTTTTAGATGCTGTCTTTGAAAATCCTACAGTTAGGGTTAGGAATGTAGCTTGAGAATTTCAAGTTTTCAAATGTACAGTAAACACCATTTTTCAAGAGCAACTGCTCCATATTTTTAACAATGTTTGTAGTTATCTCCCTTTATTAGTTTTGTCAAAAACCATAGCAACGCTACTCAAATATTATATTATATAATAATCTATAAATCATCATCTATAAATATATATAGATGTTTATGTGTGTGTAGGGTAATTATACAGGGTATCCCAATTTTGACCTACATATCAAAGTTGATTCTTCAAATGAATGTCTCAAATTTTATTGCATATTGGATAAACCAATTCAAAAGAAGATTGATATAACATACTATGGCATTTTGGTAATTAGCTATTGAGATGTAAGGTGTTTTGTCCAGAAAAACCGTCCACTTCGACAGCCCCTCAATCCGCCATTTTGAAATTGAGTGCTGAATTTTGTATTAAAAAAAACTTACATACCTCAGCTTTTACCTTATTTGTTACTACTTATAATTTTTATTTTTGCTCATACAGGGCGGTAAAAATTTTAAATGCATTCAATTTTTTTATAATTTTTTTTTTGTATAAGGTTTGATTCAGATAAAATCACTAGATTTTGAGTTATTAAGCTTTTAATAGAACAGCAGACCAAAATTAAGGAAAAAAAATCATCCATGGAAACAAAAGACAAACAGTTAGTTCCAGATTGCCACTAAGAGTACAGATTTTACGTAAAAACTAATAACAATCAGAACAGTATAAATCAGCTTCAAGTGTAATAGAGAAACACAACTATAACAACAGCATAAACAAACAACTACGCAAGACCTAATCTTTAAAAACTGCTCGAAAATATCTCCACCATGTTGAATACACAGCCGTAGTCGTGTTCCCTTATGTTTAGAAAAGCATCCATAATCGTTTCCTCCATATTTTCCGGGGGGGTTTTCCTAGACAAAACACCTCATATCTCAGGAGCTAATTACCAAAACTCCATAGTATGTTATATCAGTTTACTTCTTTTGAATTTGTTTATCCAAATATGCAATAAAATTTGAGACATTCCATTTGAAAAATCACAACTTTGACAGGTAGATCGAAATTGGGACACCCTGTTCAATAGCCAATATTTTAAAAATGTGCCCTCAAATGTCATGTATAACATCGCATAAATAGATTTCGCGAAATGTATTTGTTTATGAGTAATATTCCGTCCACACGTGGATGGGCCACCCTGTATATATATATATGATTCGGTGAGTCCAAGAACAGTACAAGTCCAAAAAATGGCATATTGAGTTGAGATAGCCAAGTCGTTTGAAGTTCGAAGACTCATATGTTGTGCTTCAAATTCAAAACATTACAACATTCAAGAATAATTCGGCTATACGCACCATCTCTCTACGGCGTTGACTTATAAATATAAAACATTACAAGTACATTACATGTACTGTTTTTGACCTCACTGCTGTCATCCTGATGATTAATATTTTTGTATGGATTCGCTCAATAAAACATTTTTCATACCTATGTCTAGCATCCTCTATAAGGGTTCCCTCAACTTTATTATACGCGCTAAACCTGAAGAATGTACAAAAAAACTCTCACACAAAAGACTGAGTTCAAAAACAGTACAAGTCCATGAACTTCACCATTTTACAACTTCGAGGAGTGTGATTTTCTCCTATTTTTTATTTTAAATTATCATTCACATGAAGAATCACTACCATTTTTGTATGTTAGCCAAAACGGTAACTCTACACATTGTGGAGTTATGAAGTTTTTTAGTGTTTTCTCAGAACTATATTTTTGGACGTGTACTGTTCTTGGACTCACTGATTCATATATATATATATATATGCAATTTAATTAGGTAGATAGGTACTTAGATTATTTAATGAAGCCTTGCTCATATGACATATGCTGTGCTAACACAAATTTCTTCCCTTTTGAATAGTTTGACTTTGGATTCAAATTCTGTACGCATTATCACATTCATTTTTTGTTGAAGTATGCAGATTACTTAGTTTAGTATGTACCACCACTTCTTTAAGTACTTTTAATTGGTTTTATTTAATTTCAATGAAAAACAAGGCGAAAATTGTTATCAAAGTATCTAGTTGCCAAGAATTGACAGTTCCCGAATCCCGAATAATTGCCAATTGGTGGAACTGCCATCGCGCACACAGCGCTGCCGTGAGGTAAATGTCCCTCCAATGTTCTCTTTTGCCATCTCCTGCACCCTACTCGTCAGCAAAGACGTCTGAAAATGTATTCCTATATACATGTTAAACTAAACTATGGCATACAGGAAAAGTATTTTTAAGACCATGACAACCATTTCACTCAAACCGTATATTTAATAGCCGGAGTGCAAGAAAGTAAACGCGCCATACAAGAGCTACAGCGAGCTGTGTGCCCAACGGCTACCAGATGACCCATCCGAATGCATGCAATGCCCTTGGCAGAGGTGCGGTGGAGTAGATGATATCAAACCACCCAAGAGGAAGTACCACACTACTACGCTTGCACAAACTCTGAACTCTAGCCAGGTACTAATTGTTCGTGATTACAGCTCTTGACCTCGCACATGTTATTAAAATTTTGTTTAGTTATTATCGGATTTCCAGGGCACTGTTTTTGACAAAAGCAACCCGATATCAACTTGGGTAAGAAGAACACCTTTCAGATTCGAACCTGCGTTCTGCATCCCAACAGTTCTTTTCCCTTTCCACTGCACCACGAAGCTAATAGAGAATATTATATCCATAATACTCGTAATATTGTAAATGTGAAAGTGTATGAGAATGTTTGTGTGAATATTCCGTTTTCATGTTTTCGCGGCTAAACCGATTTTGATTAATTTTGGTATATATACTATATACAGATTAGTCCTTGGAGACGGGCATACGCTACCTTTTTTGCCAAAATTAGACTTGAAGGGGTTGGAATAAGGGCTAAAAGTTACTAAAGCTGGGTGTACACAGATAAGGGTAAAGTCGGCATTCACACTTTTTAAGTTTTTGTAGAGAATTTAGAATATTTTTAAGTAATTCAGACCAAAAATATGTTTTGTCTTCAATGTCATCTTTATATAATATATAAAATAATTGTTATTAACAGTTTCAGAAATTATATCCTCAAGATGGGGTAGGATGGGATTGAATATTTCTATGGGGTAACTTACCACTTTTCAAGTATATAGAAATTTATCTCAAACATTATTTGACCTGATGGATAGAACGTATAAGCAGAGAACAAATTTTACAACAGGGTAGGATTAACGGGGTTATGGGAAGTAATATATAAATGCAAACAGAAAATGTAAAGTGCACTAGCGCAGGAACTCTCTATTCGATCGTGATGCGCTTCAATGCAATGATTAGAGAAATGTTGAGACTGCATATGACTGAAAATCGCAATGAAATTACGTGAGTGGTAATGCTGAAATATGCGATTAAAGAGATTTAGTTTAAGTTTATTTATTTTATTTATTATTTTATTTATTTAAGTTTATTTACAATTTACCTTGTTCCAGGCTGCACCTGAATTCTTTTACGACTGCGATGCCAAAAAGGTGAGTCAACTATCAAACACTTTCAGTCTTTTTCGAAGGACATAGTAATTTGTATGATCTTTTGGTCATTTTAGGGAGAGTCTGGAAGTGATATGAAAGTAACAGATCAAACATGGAATTTTAGTACAGATCATTTTTAATGAAACTTCGTATAGTGATAGTCCATATTGTGCTGATCAAATGTTACTTTTTATTTAAGATGCAGGGTGTACGCCTGCCTGCACCATTTTACGAAAACTATTATAATAAAAATCTCGTGAACGCATACTGTATATGGTACTCGTATACTTACCTCCTTACACCATTCACGGAGTGAAAACAACCAGTCCCAAAGTCTGTATAGACATGAGGAGAATCGTTATCATAGATGATGCATATTGCAAAAAGTACTTACAGTCAATATATAAAAACAGCCCTATTGTCATTTCTTTACGCCATTTCTGTAGGGCTGACGAGCCACACCCCAAAGTGTGTACCTCTTCTAAAAAGGCCGCGATCATGGATTATTCCTACCAGAAAGTATTTCAGCTATACATACAAGGTTAGCAGCAACCGTCAAATATAAATTAACCAAATTTTGTGCGAAGGGGTAACTCAACATAAAGAATTCAAAAGTTATATTTCCAAGCTTGCCAAATTTATAGTTTTCTCTCTTAGTTAGGGAATTTTAAAATTTTAAATGGAATAGCGTAATTTTTATTATTGTACTCAATTTCCTGTATCAACTTTATTATGACCTGATATTCTCGTTTTTTTACTCCTGTCAATTTCGGAGATTTGGCATCACGCTTTGTTTCATTCATTACATTAACTTGCATCTTAGTAAGAAATCATCCGTTTGTTTGTTTTCCAAAATAAACAAGAAGGCGTGTTATTCATTTGTTTATAATGTCATGGAGACTTCAGAACCATAACAAGTAGAAATGTTAAAACAATTGAAAAGTGACAAATATTGCGGGCGTTAATATGGCATTTGTACTTGATGTGGAGATAAACAAAGATCTTATCAAAAAGTGTGCAACTTGTTTAATGCGCTCTATCCCGAAAAACAAATTTTAAAATCTACCATCTGCAGGACAGTAAGAAACTTTCTTGAAACCGGCGGAGTGAGAAGGAAACCTGGATCAGAGAGACCGAAAACTGCTACTAGTGATGAGAATAAGTTAAATGTTCTTTTACAACCCGAATATAACCCTAGGACAAGTACTACACAGTTAGCCCTTAATTCGCGAATAAGACAGAAATTGGTCAGAAATATCTTGCCCAATAAAAAACTCGAACCCTACAAAATAATTTACCTCCACCCATTGTGAGAATTGTGAGAAGATGATCCAGACCGTCGAGCTCAGCTTGCAGAAACTATGATGGAAATGATAAACAACACAACCCCAATTTCCACAAAAAAATTTTGTTCAGCGATGAAGCCACCTGCTGTTTAAATGGACAGGTGAATCAGCACAACAACACCCGGAAAAAGTAAATGTTTGGACGGGAATTTTGGGCAACCATGTCATTAGTCCATTTTTTATAGATAGCAATTTGATGTGACAAAATATCTTGATCTCCTTAGACTTCGCATAATACCCGAAATTAGAAATTTAAATGAAAATATAGACGAAATTTGGTACCATCTCATTTCTTCAGAAGAGTAATCGAGTTTTTAAATAACCAATTTCCAGGAAGATTGATTGGAAGACGTGGCACTCTGGAATGACCACCTCACTCCCCAGATATAACCCCACTAGATTTCTTCTTTTGGGGTTTTCTGAAGTGCAGAGTTTATCAAGATTGGCCCAACAATTTAGAAGAACTTAGCCAAAAGATTCTGGATGAAGCCGCACAAATTACTCCAGACAAGTTATCGAATACTTTGACAGAATTTTAGTATCGCCTAGGATATTGTTTAGCCAACGATGGTAGCCATTTTGAGCACCTGATTAAGTACATAGGCATTTTGTTAGTTTTTAATATTATGTTATTGTTTTGCACTAATATTTCCTTGTTTGATAATTAAATTGCCTTATTCCCTTTCATTGACTTTTTTTTAAATAGAATCTTGGAAACATCGGAAATGCAACTCATGAATTTAGAATGTCCAGTTACTCCCCTGTACTAATTTTGACGAATTTCAGTTGGATCGGTTTCGAGATAATTGACCATACCTTGTCGTTTTTGTATTCATTTCGAAAGAAGCATGATGCCATATCTCTTAAATTGACGGCAGTAGAAAAACGATAATTTCAGGTCATAATAAAGTTGATACAGGCTATTGATTACAATAATAAAAATTAGGGTATTTCATTTAAAATCTTAAAATCCTCTAGCCTAGAGAGAAAACTATAAACTTGGCAACCTTGCAAATATTTTTTTAATTCATCATGTTGAGTTACCCCTCCGCACAAATTTTTTTCATTTATATTTAACGGTTGCTGAGATAATCCACCGTTCCGGTTTTTGTCTACTATCCCTGTATAATAACACATAAGAACCGACGGCGCCGGTGTCCTTATCTCTTTGTGATTTTCAAATGGATAAAAACAACTCCATTCATATTATCACTCGCTTGTGCAATTTCTGTAGGGGTAAAAGATTACGATCACTACCAGAAGAAAATGTCAGCTATACATAACTAAAGCCATGTACAGATATGTTGTAACGACACCGCGAACCGAACCGGTGCGACGAGCACCAGTGTGTTATTTTGTAATGTAAAATAATTATTTTTCTTACTTGTATATTTTCCTTTAAAATTTCGATCAATGCCCCACAAACTTCTGGAATGATGTAGCTGGTCGATTGCTTTGAAATTCGGAACATGTTTTGCAAACTACTGTATATATCACCGGTCGTTAAAAATGTATTTTATATTCTATTTTCTTGCAAAATACAGACAAATCCACACTATTCAACAAGTATGTAATTATAACTTTCAGTATATTGAAGTTGGTAAATTCGAGAGTGCCATGCATTAACAGACGTCCAAATCTGTTGCCAAATTTAACAGCTAGAAAATCGACCTATTATTTGCCGCATTCCCATTCGCTGAGGGGGATAACGGATTGTTAAATGTAAACCTATAACATATATCAAAATACATGAAAGTTGTCCTGTTTTTTCTGTACAAAAGCATCATGTTGGAATCAAAAAGTGGTCTTGTTTATAATACAGTCGAATGTTCACGATTTTATTCAATATTTCAATAGAAATCACTAATATTCAGAGACCTTTGACAGCTTCTGTCAAATTGCATTTCGATAAGGTATTTTTTTTTTCATTGGTGAAATTGGCCCTTAAAGGAATTATACACCCTGATCAATTTTGGGGTTAGTTCTTTGATGTATGGCAAGACAACATAATTAACTCTGGAAATAGGAGCAACCACTGTAGTGCTGTTATTCTCATTGATTGAAGAATTCATGGGCGTCTGGTTGGACCGAACAGTGTTGTCATTTTCACTATTGTTATTCGTCATTGACAAAATATTCGGACATAATGTCCCACATTTTCATGACAGATCATTGCATGAATAAAAAGGCTGATTTTAAGCAGCTTAGTGTCATTTAATCCTACCTGTTGAATTGCGAAAAGCTAGAATGACTACATAAATTAGAATAAATTTCCAATTACATACTATCCTGGCAATTGAAATTTCTCTACACATTTTTACAAAACAAATTAATTCAGCATTTTAGTAATTTGGGTGGAGGTTTACCGAGCGTCCCTCGTATACTTCATACCCAAATTGGACAATGAGGTTTACAGTTCCACGTTCCGTCGCGTCAATCACTTGTCATCTGTCGACGCATTATCTGTCCGTTCCGTCGCCCTCTCCACGTGTAGCGGAAGTAGGAGGTTAGAGACTGCATTCCGATTGTTTCCCTAAAATGTCTTCTCATGTTTAATAATCTTTAATATGTTCGGGTGTACTGATATTTTTAACATGTAACGAAGGTATCTGTCGTTCTCAACAAGCCCAACCAACAAGTTCTATCTTCTCTACGTTCGTTTTGAAACACCTTGAGGCTGCAACCTCAACGACGAGTAAGTTGTTTGACAATTTAAATCGGTCCTGTATTCTTTGCTAGCTTGCTAGCATCACAATTGTGTTTTCAGGATCCTGATGAAAGCTCCATAGAGAATGCCGAAAGCTTGATTTTATAGTCAAAAGAGTCAACTTAATCCTAAAAATTTGCCAAATTTCCCAATTAACAATTTATTGTTCTATTTATTGAAAGTTATTTTACTTCGTTGCATGTTCAAAAATACCAACCTTTATTTTCCGATTAGCTCCTCAGCTTGATTCCAAGCTGCTATAGTTGCGTAAAAATATGAATTTGCTTACCAGGCAAAAGTGAAGCTTCAAGATCACGCAAATTTTATAATTCAAATTTCCACTGAGCTGTGTGTGTCAGCCTGTTTTCTTGGATTAAAAAACACAAAAATATGTATCTTACATTTTGTTTGTTCATCCAAAACGTTTTTAAAAATTCATGAAACCATCCAAATCAACGTTCGTCCGTTCTGGTACCTTTATTATGAAAATCCTTGAGCCTCGACTGTATAGCTCAAGATCTCAGGACTGCCAGATATATTTTCTGATAGACAAAAAGTGGGGCACCATTTATGCGAACTTAATTAATCTCTGCGCATCTAAACTTGTGTAGACAGCCAATTTACATGTACCAAGTGAGAAGTGCATTGTAAGTAAAATTAAATTGTGATAGCTAATTTTTATAAAATATTTCTAAAACATTATGACAGAATACTATTCAGTGCTGCCTTTACATCTGATACAGTACGACTGTAGGCTCTGTAACTTTACATGAACGATTTAAACATTTTATATCAGGGTCAGCAACTTTTGAATTTTTTTTTAGGCGGTCACACAAAAAAGAGACGTATGGAGGACAATTTAGCATGATAGGTTTAAAGCGTCTAACGAAAGTTATGTTTAGCGGGAAGTTCTGTAATAATGTATTACTAAGTATATATAAAAATCAACCATCAGTTAATCCTGAGCCCTGAAACGTCAAAAGAAGAAGTATGAGCGATTTTTTTCTAGTTTTTTTTTGGCCGTAGCTCCGCCGTCACTGGATCGATTTTCAAATATTACAAAGCCTTTACATCCTTTGTGTAGTAATAACCTTGTGTCAAAATTTAATCCAAATCCGAGAGGTACTTTCTAAGTTATAGAGAGACCAAAGATTAGCGATTCAATAAACAGACCGTCAGACAGGCAGACAGACCGAAGGAAATGTGTGTGATCTACACGCTAAAAAACGCCTCATTTTCAAAAATTTTCGTTACAATATTTCCTCACCCGAGGTGTGGAAGGTAAAAACGTGAGTGCTTGAGTAGTATGTGTTCTCCACTTGATTGCATATTTTTTCTGAAATGGCTTATGCCAAGCGTAACAAAGTACCTCCATGTGGTAAATACAAAAATAAAGGTTCGGTTTGCATGCAGTAACATTATTTACAAGTGTGTACTTGTGTACCATTTTCAAAGAAACCTTGTCGCCCCCCACCACCAAAATGCAAAAAGGACCCTTGCCAGAAGGAGCCGTGCCCCGAAGAGAAAAGGCGCTGCCCGAATCCTTGCGGCCTTGGAAACACCTCGTATAACAGGAAGAAGTGTTCCAATTGGACGGCCGCCTTCCGCCTGTGGAGTGACAAGGAAAACATCCTGGCTAACAAGGAGTGGCTGGACATGCAGGTGATGCCTATCGTTGAGAAGATGAACAAGGACCAAGGAATGGTCAGTACCCATACATATTTCATTTATATGTCGTTTTGTCTGAACCACATACATACAGGGTCCGCATGTTTTTTAAATGAGTAGTACAGTCAAAATAAGTATGGGAAAAAGATATTTTATTATATCAAAATACTTTGAAATACATGCTATTTTTTGAGTAAAACAAAATTTAAGTCCTAAAAACTATATCGACCATATGGCGACCTTGAGCCGAAATGCAGGAATCAAGCCTCTGCCGAAATGAGCCCATTGCGTCGGCCAGCATCCGTGCACGAATTTGGGTTACTTCTCTTCTTCTTTCCTCTTTCAAATCGACGAGGGTCCGAGGCTTGCTTTGGTAAACTTTTTGATTTCAGGTAGCCCCATTAAAAAAATCACACGTTGACAGGTCCGGGGAGCGAGGGGGCCATAGAATATCGCTATGACGTAAAATGAAACGTCCTGGGAATTTTTGCCGAAGAAGTTCCATCAAAGTGCGAGCTGTGTGAGATGTTGCCCCGTCTTGTTGGAACCGCACTGTTCTGAGACGGACACGTCGACGTCGAAGTTCCGGAAAAAAAGTTGTTCAGCATATCGGAATTTACAGTAGTTCTTTCTCCATGATCCTCAGAAAAAATAAGGGCCAATAATCATCGTTGGGCCTACTGCACACCAAACTGTAACTTTCGGGGTATGCACGGGGTGCTGATGCAACTGTTGGGGGTTCACTGGAGACCAATATCGACAATTTTGTTTATTGACGTACATGTAAATGAAAATGTGCTTCATCACTCATAACAACGTCATGTCATTGTTCTCCAACTGTTCAATCATGAGCTGTACAAAATTATCACCTTGTGCGTAATCCCCTGGCAACAGTAAGTTGTTGACAAACTTGGATTTTGTAAGGATGGAACACTAAATCCTTCTTCAAGATGCGACGTACAGACGACGCATGGATCCTTAGGAAACTGGCACGCAAACGGTCGGAACAGTTCAGGTTTTGCAGCGTGCTAACTCTCACTCTGTCTACGTTTTCGGGGGTTCTAACAGTTCGGTTTCGCCCTGGCAGTTTTTTTTCATCACATTACTTGTTGTGTTGAATGCTTCCACCCATCTCAAAATGGTGTTACGGTCTGGTACTGTCCCACGACGTGGAAACCAAAAGTGAACGTGAAACTCACGTTGCGTTCTAAAGGCCTAAAACCTAGTCAAAATGTAGGTTTTGGCACCTTGGTGATGCGAGGATACTTGAAATTTTTCATATCCTTAGGTCCCGCACTTCTTAATAACCACAACAAAATTAGAGTCTATGGGTCAAACAGTAAGACGATCCTCGCATTACCAAGAAGTGCCAAAACCTACATTTTGACTAAGTTTTAGCCCATAACCTTTTTTTATTCAGACCTTTTAGTGGGTAGTTCCAGTTTTAAGTACCTAAAAATCTTGTTTTAAGTTTTTTTTTCGTTCAAGGCAGCTTTTTGGTTTAGATCCCAAAATACGCTTTTTCTCTATGATTATTGTTGAATAAAAAGTTTTCCTACAAAAACTGGTGCACCCGTTTTATGCATCTTTTTTTTAGATAACTCCCTGAACAACTTACATCGATAAAACTAAACCTCACAAATATTTTGCAAATCAGGGGATTTTTCGTTTCTGATTAGACTAATACGGATAATGAAAAGATTGGGTTCCGGCAGAGTTATTATATAAAAAACCTATATAATGTCAAAAAAATGTCAACTTGTTGACTAAGTAGGCTAGTATGCAGATAGTTCATTCCGCGCTTGCTACAAGTGAGCATGAGGTGAACGACAGCTAGTTACGAGTACAAGTTGATGTCTTGTTAGAAAATCTACGTAATGTCCAAAAAAAACGACATAATGTGACAAATGAATATCGAAATCACCTCTCACATGCGGTTTTCCAATTCGAGTCCAGTCGCAGTCATCCCATCGATCAACGCAACCGCCTATCTGCCAAATACGAATGAAAAAATTACGTGTCACTGGTGATTTCGATATTGTCTGTCAGTCCCCGATTCCTTTGACTACCGTATGTGTGGGCAGCATCACAGTTGTGCAAAGCGTAGACGAAAATACGAGTGTAAATGGCTACCGTGCAAATAATCAGATTATTCCGGATGCACTGATCGCAGCACTATAGAAGTTAGTCCATTTGATACTCGATGCAGGCCTGTGGACGCGTACCATTACTGCCCATTTCTAGTATAATTCCAGATCGTAGAGCTTTTCATTGTCGTATATCGAAAATTAGTAAATGATAGTCAACTATTGTTTGTTTTGGGTAGGAATTTGGTGGATCCACGTTAAAATATGAAATGAAGAAAAAGTGTCCTGATGACAAAGGAAAATGTCCTAAAAAAGAACGGCCTCGTATTGATATCGACACAACAATTGACGTGAGTGTTAAAGTGAATGTAGTGACACATTTTGAATTTTGTTCACAAAATATTTTTCAGTGATAGGGTAAAACATAGTCTTGAAGTTCAAACATTGTCCGCGTGGGCAATATACAAGGTATCCCACATCGAACTCGATTACTCGAAAAGTTAACTTTAGACAATTATGAAAACTTGGGGTTACGGTATAGCTGATATTAGGAATTCTGCTAAAATATTTTCAAAATGGTGGCACTTAGATATCTGTGTATTCAATTTTTGAAATTTTCGAAAGATTCTAAATACATTCCATGTATAACATCCTATACCTAACTCTAACCCTTCTTGAGAAATATCAAATTTTATGTGGAAAATACAAATGCAGGCCCGATTATTTTTTTGTGTATGTTAGTCCTGGTCGAACGATTTGTAACTCGCTTATAGTAGACTTTATTCGATATTCTAATAATTAATAATACAGGGTGGCCAAAAAAACGAACGAAGATTAAATTGAAAAAAGCCAAAAGTTCAATTTTTCATGGGACACCTCCTGTTTTTATAATCTCATCATCTTAAGCAAAAAAAATAGGGACCGTTTTGTAAGGTTAGTAGTTAGTAATTTAGAAAATATTTGCAAATACTCGTTTTCTATCCGTTTATACGGTTCCTTTAATATCGGATTCGTCTGACATTTCAAAAATAATGTAGATATTTGGTCTTAGTAAAACTTTCCCCACAAATAGTTCAAGTGTTTGTTACTTGATTACCGCATGAGTCCGTTTATAAAGTTTTGTTCAAACAGCAAATAGCTCAATACTCAATTAGTACGTATGCACCACCAGTAGCGCTGCAGCTATTATTCTATCTCTATCCGTGTTTGAAATTTAATTCAGCATACACGAGTCCAGTGGTCGCCAACCTTTTCAGTTTGTTGAGTTACTTTGATAATTATGGAATAAACAGTGAGCTACCTAGTCGTAAGCAATGCAAGCCAACTTAAATAAAATTGTACACAGTTGTATGCGACATAGGTGTGTTTATCTTACTAATACTAATTGATTCTACTAAAGTTAAATAAACTAATAACTAATACATACTACATAACTACATCAATTCCTACCAATCATCGGTGTTTGAAAAATAAACAAAATTTAATAAAGGTAACTTACTGAAGGCCAGATACATTTTGTATTTTAAACTAAGAATTTCAAAAGTTAAATCATTTTGAAACAAAATCACTTCCATTTTTGTCGCAGCGATGTCTTCGATAAAATGATGCGTAACAGAAGTTGCAACCTGTTGGATATCATCTATTTCTACATGATATTTACTGTCATTTATGGTTCTAATGGACTTTGAGATATATTTTCTGAAAGAACAGGAAAATGCCGGGTAACGCCATGGATTGAGTTTTGTTCCCAAATACTCAAGCTTTTTTATAAACGCTTTTATATCAGAAATCATTTCTGCAAATTCTTTGTCTTTCCCCTGAAGCTCCAAATTAAGTTCATTTAATTTTTCTGTAATATCCACAAGAAAATCAAAGCCAGATTGAATGTTCCAGTTCCGGAATCGGTTCATCACGTTGTTTGAAAAATTGAACTATGACAGATATGATATCATTGAGGTTTCAGCACTCGTCCCCTACTTAACCATAGGACGTCAGAGTGAAGTAGTTCGCCGTATTGACAGTCAATTTCATCGGCCAAGTTTTTGAATAATCTTCTTTGTAACGCTTTAGCTCTTATATTGTTCACAATTTAACTACCAATTTCATAACGCTGTTTAGTTTTAGAAAATGTTCACATAATGCTTGCTGATGGATAATGCAGTGCTACCATTTTCGATATTGGAATTAAATCAAAAAAAAATATTTTTAAAAGAAGAAATCAAGTCCTGCCCAGTAGTCTGTCCTTTTAGTGGAATAAACTTCAAAAGATTTTCTTTAATCGTAAAATCACTAAAAACCAGCCTGACGAACACGGCCATCTGAGAGGTGTCAACGACATCTGTGGATTCATCCAGCTGCAGTGAAAAATATACACAGTTATAGAAGTCATTTCTTAACTGTAAAACTATATCATTGCTCATTACTTCTACTCGTCTCATCACTGTATTAGCAGAAAGTTGCATAGATTTTATAGCAGACACTATCTGGTCTTTATATTTCTAAAGTTGGCAAATAATATACAGCTTCTAAAACGCCTGTTTTATCATTTCCTCGACTTCATAAGATTTCTTATTTTGTGTAATCATCTGTTACATCCGATATGATGCTTCAGTTGCAGCCTTACTTTTTTCGATGGTTTTTAAAAACATTGTTCTTCAATTAATTGATTTTTTTAATTGTTCCAGTTTTTCCGTTCTGGTTGCAGAACGTAATGGGAATGCTTTTTTAAAATTCGAATGTACAGTTTATAGTGCCTCTCGATATTCCCTTTTATGGCAATGGAAACAAATGCATTACATAACAAACATACATTTTTACCTGAATAAGAAATATTGTTCTTCCCATTCCGAATGGAAATGATGTGTTCATCTTCTTACTACTGCTCATAATGTTTTTAATTGCACGCCAACTCTAACACAACCGCTGAACTTTGTGCTGTTCAGTCGCCGTGCCTTGCCACCATAATTGCCTTTGCGAGCTACCGGTAGCTCGCGATCGACGGGTTGGCGACCACTGGCCTATTCGATAGAGAACCAACGTGTCAGTGAATATCGGGCGGTCGACCGAAGTTTTTTAGACTACGAACTGGTACGTCATTTACTCTTTTTTATGTACATGTACCACATATGAAAAGCTCACACCTCATGAATCATTCATTTTTAATATTTAATAATTCACCGCGCTATGGCCAACCATCCTGAGCTGGCCATAAAAGTTGCTGTATGGAAAGAGAAAAGGAGTATCTGCAAAGATTTCCTGAGCTACTAATTCGCGAAGTAGATAACCTCATACAAAACTAGGCTTATTTTTATTGATTTAGATGATGAGATCTTAAAAGGAGGTTTTCCATTTGAAAAAATGGAATATTAGCGTTTTTTCTTTTATGGGTCCGCATTTATGATTTTTTTTTTAATTTATATGTCGAAAACGGTTGGAGTTGAGTATCGGATGACATAGAATGTATTTAGAATCTTGGGAAGATTTCAAAAATTGAAAAATATACAATTCAAATTCGTATCAGTTATATTTTAACCCTAAGTTAACATAATTATCTAAGGTCAAGTTTTCATGTAATCGATCGCTGCGATTCGACGTGGGACACCCTGTATATATAATATATACCTTGTCATGAGATCTCACGACTGTAATAATTATGGAAAATGTCTAATGGGATTTAGTTCAACGGAGCCACTGTTTTGGTTTTGTCTAACTCTAGGGATAACAATGAGTAAAGTAATAAATTTCTCCTACAACATACAGTACTTATTATTATTATTTTTAAAATGTGTCATTGTACCAAATCGCGAACGACATTTTTGGGGTCTTGTTTCTTTTATGTATGTTTTGCATTGCAATTGACAAGTTCCCAATTGGCGAAGGTAAGTATTATGATGTAAATGATTATTTATCATCTCTATAGCTAGGAACGGGGAACTTGCTTCTGCCAAATGCAAACCTAAACATTAAAAGTGCGAGTTCCCCTTGCAGAATCGATTAGAACTGAATATTTTTATTGTCTTTTTCTAGGAAAGGTTTAAGCCTATAGACCCATGTTGCAAACAACAAAAGCACATCACCAGGAGGACTCCAGCTGTACGAAATCCAAAAACATACGAACCTGACTCACCAAATTACGACAACATTGGCAAGTTGTAATAAAAAAATGTATGTAGTGTTTATACGTTTTTGAAATCTTTCCGCTATATTTGAGGAAATGATAATAAACTTTGTCAGTCCAGTGAAGGGGTATCAAAATACAATGTTCGGTAACAAATAAGTGACTTTTAATCTATAGCAATAAAAAAGTTCACCGAGATTGGTAAGAGAAGGATCACTGGAACATTATTGTAATTCAACGTAGAACGATGGAACTTTCTACTATTACCTTTTACTCACCAAACTATTCTGCTTCGTCAATATATCATCTTACTGTTTTTTAAGAAAAATTGTATTTTGCACTATACCAAATTCAATTTTCACGTGCAGTCAGTCAAAACAAACTTCAGCAGGTTAGTGCGTAGATGGAGCGCGCCGATTGGCCGATGTGCAAGAAAGGCCATAATAGCACACCCCTGGTAAAAAAAGAACAGGACTATATCAGCTCAGCGCAAACAGACCAGGCGTAGCTTTTCCCAAAAGAGCGCCGTATCAAAGCTTGCCGGACGAGACACTCTACTGTGGTTACAATTAACGCTCCGATATGGGCAAATACCAAATACACGCTTGTTCTCCATTGTCTATAAGATTTTTTAATTCACGACTTTTCGATGAGATCTTCCATAATCGTCATCAATCGTCAATGCACGATCAATTCATGAAATCGTGGTACCTACGGGTATAAAATGTTTAATGAAAATCCAGAATATGTTACGAACTCGTTTATTGTTATTAAGTACGACCAATATTTTTATTAAAACTCGGTACTTTAGGAACTTAAAGTAATTATATTAAAATAATCCTTAAATACTTGAAATTCCACGTGTTACAAATTAAATTTTTGAACATATCAAATATCACAAATTAAATTATTGGTCACCCTACTGTTCTTTATTCTGTGCACTTCTCTTACGTCGAATCATAAATAGTAGTTTGATATACAAACACAATCTTTTAGCTGGATCACGATTTTTACTTCAAATAAGTTAGTAATAATGTAATTTAAGAGTGAAATACCAACTTGTGAAACACGTTTCGAACTCCACGGTGTTTTGACTTTTGGTAGGTATTTGCGTGACCTGCATAGTACTCGAGTACTTCTTTGTCATAAGTCACTTAATCTCACTTTTTCCACATTTAGTAATGAATTATTAGATTTTTTACTTGAAAGTTTGTTATCAACGACGACCCCCATGTTACATATAACAAAGTGATCGCAGTACCTCGGTAATTGATGTAACTATTTTACGAATTAATTAAACATTCTTGGCCATTTCATGAAGTAGCCGCGCGATTAATTGATTATATCGCTAACCAATTTACAATTATTTGGCCAAAAATGTTGATCTTTAGCATGGCTTATTTTTCACTTACATATAAAAAGAACTGCACCCAAACAACATCTTTATGTCAAAAATTTCAATTTGTACGTAAGGAAGATTTGAAAATATCTAAGTTAATATAGATATTGAGATGTTTCTCCTCTGAATACAACACCAAGTCTGGTAGTCATATTTGTCTCACAAGTCATAAGGTGATTTAGTCACCTACAATTTCAAACAGCTTCTTGCAGGTGTTTAATCTGGAGGGTCAAAATACAAAACATGCTACTACCACTACCTAGTTATTCAATCTAATGATTTCGCGCTTGAGAACTCATAGTTTGGCGTACAGTTTGAAGATTTGCATTGTGGATATCACTTGACATTTTTTAAGTATCTTGAAAAGTGGCATTTTCGGTTTTTTGGCATTATGTCGGTTTTCCTACAGGACGTCAACTTGAAACTAGCTGTCGTTCACTTCATGCTTACCGATAGCAAGCGCGGAATGAACTATTTGTACACAAGCCTACAAGGTGACATTTTATCTTTTTTTTGACATTATATAGGTTTTTTACGTAATAACCCTGCGGAGTCCCCATAAGGCGGAAGCCTCGTTTCATGGACACGGCTGATACTGCTACACACATAGCCCGATAATTAAACATAAAATGGATATAAGTAATTAAAATAGTCTTGTACAGGATAACGCAAAGTTCTAGATTCTGCGGTAGGCAGGTACCGAAAAACTTTAATTTTAGATTTTTTTTTACGGTCCTGTAAATATTCTATATAGAAACAAGTTGTTAGGAAAATTTTGTAGCTTGATGAATGAGCTACAATAACTGTTTCCACCAGATACATTTTTTTGAGTAATCTTGATAAATTAACGTTAAAATTGAGCTTTTTCTTTACATCATTTGTAATTATCATCAATTATTATGGAGCGTGGTAAATGGCTCAAAAAACTATTTTATCAATTAAATGACTCGACTTACGAACATTTTTACGAATAACGAAAGTAGATATAAAACTATCGTATAGACAACTTTTGAAGCTTATTTATCGAGTACAAAATTGTCATAACAACCTTTTTCTATTTACATATTTTGATGTTTACAGGGCCGCAACAACCAACCAAAAATCAAAAAGTAGTTAAAATGTATTTCCTGCCAAAGATACAATTCTTCATTTCACTAAATCTAAATTTTCATCTATAAAATAATTTTTGTTAGGTCAAAAATGGTCATTTACTGGGCAAACAGGCGCACATTCGAGAGAAACGTTACCTGTAACCAATGAATGATCAAGGTATTCAACAGGTGGTGGAATATGTTAATTAGTGTGAGTTGGAACAAACAGTTAAAGCAAAAATTATAATTATTGTAGGACAAATAACCAAATCAAATGAGACGTCATACTTGATAATCATTCTGCACTAGATCTGCCCCCGCACGATTGATGTCATGCTACTGCCCTATACCAATGCCGGCATGGCAAATCTACTTCACCTACTTTATTGTCATACACCGATTTTTTTATGTAGCCTGGCATGCATACGCAAATTAATTTTTTAGCTTTGCAAAAAGGGAAAAAAGAAGCAACGACCTGACCAAGGCCATCCTCCACCATGTCCAGAAAAACCCGTAAACCCAGGCGAAACTTGCAAAAAAGAACAACCAAAACTGCCTTACAGGAAAGAGCGCGACTTCAAGAAATCCTACTACAAGAGGCCTGATGAACCTTATTCTGATTTTCATGATTACTAGGTGAGTTTTGTACGAAACAAAATTACCACTCACGGGCAGTTTTTCCGTTTGTGTGTGTGCACACAGAGACAGTTGAGGAGCGGCGGTTTTGACATTCAGGCATGGGCTTAACAGTCCCCGCTAACGAACTCGAACTAGGTAGGAGGATTGCGTAGGCAGTAGTCAGGATGCAAGTTCAAGTCTGTCTCGCTTAAGCCGCCAGTTTGACAGTTGTTGACATTTCACATTAAATTTGCTCTTTTCTGCGAAAACATATAAAAGTGCATGGGTTCCATACTATCCTAGTGTTCCAAACAATTTTAGAAAATTCTTTATTTCATTTCACTTCTTATTTCATTGAGCACTCAATCCCAATCTGTTTTTTCGCAGTATTGTGTACCGAACAGTAACATTGAAAAATGCAAAATATTGGCGACAAACCAATTTCTTTGATGTATACTGAAAAGGGCTAACCAAACCTTTAATCTAACTAAACTATAGTTTAACTTTGCTTTAATTTTGAATCTAAAAGTTCTTAGGAAAGTTATAAGTAGTAATTTTAGGATCTCATTTAGTGCCACAAGATTCTATGGAGGAAGCTGAGTACGCCCAAAAAAACTATGAATTTATTAAAATACTTTCAAATCTTTTTATTGTATAGTGGCAATGAATATAATATCATGTTTTTCCACATAATCCTCAACTAGATATTCGCGCTTAGCCAAGAATCTGCTCGAATGACAACTGTTTAGAAAAGCGGAGAAGAAACCATGCAAGGTGTCCCACTATTTCTAATCTCAGGTCTTCCGACATTGCTGCTGTTTGATGAAATGTTTTTTAGTGATATAAATCAGCACAGAATCGACCACTACGGAAAGCTCATAGTTGCTATTAGTTGGAACTGTTAGGGATCTCAGCTCGAGTTTAATGGCTCAGTCACCACGTGACCGATAGATGGCTGACAATTCTGGCTGTAAACTATATGTGGTCTACTTGCCATTGAACCTACCAAACATGATGATTTCGGCCGTCCGACCAAAAAGACAATCAACCATGGAGAGTTGTTCCGTGCTTCTTGGTTGCTCATCAGCACGGTCTAGGCTTGGTATTTTGTCTCTCGACGAATTAACGAAAGAATCGCAACTATCCTCTAAACCGGAAGTACGGCCATACCAGAATAGACCACTGCGGAAAGCGCACAGCCGCTATTAGTTGAAACTGTTAGGAATCTCAGCTTCCCAATATCAGGTAGACCACATCTACTTTATAGACAGAATCATCAGCCGTCTAGCGGTTACGTGGTGACAGTGTTATTAAACGCGGTATGATAGATGGGGATTTGCGCTGTCATATTTTGATAGACCATACCTCCGGTATAGAATATAGTTACGATGCTTTCGTTCGTTCGTCTAAAAGTGTTACTGATCGGCGGGATAAGTTCCTATTTTCGAAACTTTTTGGATCGTGGAGCAACCTTTTCTGAACCTAAGATTTCAGATATATTTGTTGATAGAAAAAATACCGGAAATACCGTCAAGATACGCTGACAGGAAACATTTTCGATTTAAAACTAAAACAGTTCAACACCTGAGAAGTCTTCCTTATTTTGAATCAGATTAAACGACTAAGATGGATAATATTTCAGTCAGCTGGACGACTTGTCATCAATAAACTCGTGGCAATTTTATTAAATAGGTAAAAAGTGAAAAAACTTTTCTCCCATCGGTCACAAACGCGACATCGATTTTCTTGTTCTAATTATGCGAGCGGCAAAAGGCAAACTGTAAATCAGTTTGTTTCATTATTTCCACGAAATATTTGGTAACAGTGTCGACTAAAGACAAAAGAACTAGTCTATACACATGCTGATTAGTATCCAAGAAGCACAAAAAGGCTATCCATGGTTGGGTGTCTTTTTGTTCCTGCGGACCAAACCGTCATATTTGGTATGTTTTGTATTGAGCGCCGTTAATTCCGTTAATAAATGTGTGCCATTGTTTCTTTGCCTTATTTGATTTATCCCGGTTTATTAACAACTGAGCGATGCACATAGCAACACAGATAGTATCTCTGCTTTGTTCTTCGTGGGTACACCCAGTACGAATAGCTATTTGAATATCCGTTTCAGAGAAAATAATGCACGCCGATGTTTTGGATTGTTACTTTGGTAGCCAATGAGTCAAAAGTATGCATAAAAACTATACAATCTTGGCGACAAACAATGCAATGTAAACATCTGGCTTGGATCCTTCTAATCTATTCGAATTCGTTGGTCTCCACTTCCTTTGGTATACGTATGTGAGTGGGCAACCTAAGTAACTGAAGCGACGTGATAGGAAACGTTGCAACATTTATCATTTGCACACATCAAACGAGGCAGGCCGCTTCCCTTTGTATGGAACCCGTGGGAGGGTACTAATTTGATTGTAGAGGTGTTTTAAAACGACCGTTAGACGACATGCGCGGCTTCAAATCTGTGAAAAAGCAGACGCGTCACAATACAAGCATCGCTAAAAACATAACTGATCCTAGATCTGCTGTAGGTCAGTCAAATTATTTCGGTAATTTTTGTCACACTCCTATTTATTACATAATTTGGTGTGGTGATACAACATAAATTAATCACAGAACGCGTATTCTTTAACGGAACATTGAGATTGATATTCATTTAATTTGATTCCCTTACGAAACGTTTCCCTGCCATTTATGTGTTCAATGAGGTGCCTAGAGCTAATATAAGTGGCTTATAATCGTTCCTCATTGTGTGTGTTTCCCCGTCGTCGCCGTCGGTGTCGGTGGCGTGGTATGGAATCAGTAGCATATAGGTAGCTGGTAGCTGACAAATCAATTAAGGAAGAAGTAAGACTGCGTTATTTAGTATGGGAAGGTGGTAATCACCACTTTTCAAATCTGATTTGAGTTCCGCATTCGGTACAAAGGCCTTTTCCCCCACACTGCAACACAACTAATCGTTTTGCCTTAACCAGTGGTGCTTGCAGACAGGTATTTGTCTCATCGTCCCAGGACTTTAGCACTGTATGAGAGGTGTGAATGTAAGTCTCATCGCTGTATACAATATTCCTACCTACGAAAAGGTATCCTCTAGAGCAAACTGTTACTTTTACAAACTTTAAAGAAATTATTTTGAAAACAAAAATCTTCATTTGTTAAGAATGCGGTCTTTCATTAAAATCTTTTTTCAATACATTTTTGTTAAAGCATACCTATACATACAGTATACACTCACTTTTGCTATCGCTCATGTACCTTAACGCTTAATTTTTATATTTATTTGTCATCTATTGAGGTTTATGACAATTTTTTTATAGATATCGATATTGCTGATTGGACTGAAAACATATTATAAGATACATTTCTTTGTATTTCTTCAATTTCCTTGAAAACTCAAATCGTTTTAAAGGAATGTATTGTTTTTCAATCAATAGTTTCCAATTATCTTCCACTTTTTTTACAGCAAAAACCTAATTTATGAAATTTTTTTCTGAAGGATTCGATTTTCCCCGCAAGGCTTACTCCATTATTTTTGCAGCTTCATAAACGGCTGTAATGGTAGGACACCGCTTATGAATATGGAGAAATTTATAAATTATTTCCCTTACGGCTGCCTCAAACATTCCCACTGTTGATTTCGGACTTGGTTTAGGAACAGTTTTTCTTGGGGAGACAAATTTATTGCCTGTGGGTTTGATCGAACCTTCTTTCACAATGCATTTGACTGTATTGAGTGATACACCTGTAGCCTCTGCTACTCGATTCGTCAGTTGATTTAGAGGTAAAATGACTTCCCCTGTCTCCTTTTCACGGCTCATGAATTGAAAAACATATACAATCTATAGCGGCCCTGGCTATGAACAACCTTGTGCTGGTTCTTATAGGTTCGCAAATAAAATGTGAATAGAAGCGTGTGGTACTACGTCTTAGTCGATCTAGGAGCAACATTTGATTAATATAATTAAACGCATATACGTTATATCTCAGATTATCAAAGCTTTAAGCATGAAAAAGAACAATACCAACTTCATTGCTAACGCTGTTTCATACAATAAGTCATCTACAATCTCCGAAACTTTTACACTCACATATTAAATATAAAAAAAAACAATCTTCATAACCCTGGTCTAACAAAGGAAATCCAACATACAAAATCGTAATCTATACGCGCACGCCAATGACTACCGATAGTTCGCCCTTGGATGTTCAAAGCCGAATGCCAGTGTGGCAGTCAGTCTGCCTCGAAAAAGTCGATATTTGTGATTTAGGGTAATATTCTTCCCGCCGTTCTAATATCTAACTTCTGCGCATCCACATAATGTAGCGGTCACAGCTCACGACGTTTTAAAACACCTCTAAACGCACTCAGCGTAAAAGAGTTTGTCTTCTCTTCCCCGCATACGCGTGCAGCTCTGAGCTCACGGCACACATTTGGGAGGCAATCGAAAGGTGTGTTTGTTTTGTACAGTGGTTGGTGACTGTGTCTGGGATCCAGCCGTCTGAATTCTGTCTACATAGAGTAGCAGAGTGAACGAAATGTGTGTGGCGGGATCTTGGACACGGTCATCGACAGACTGACGACTGCTATACGAACAGGACTAAAGGCAATGTTATGATCAACAGATGAACCAAACTTTGCTAAGGCGTTCCTTCGGACAGTACTGTATAGGCAAGCCACAAACTGCAGAGAATAAGGTTTTCAGGGCACGGACATGTTCATCTGGCCGCGCTTCTCACTGTTACGATTACCACCATCGCCACCCGTCTCAATTGAAAGTTGCCTGTCTCACTAACATTGACCATGATATTCCATATAACTAGAAAGCAATTTGCAAAGTAGACAACTTTATACAAAATTAACATTACATTCAACGACTTATATGATGAAATTATAAAAAAGGTGGTTTCCATTTGACAAAATTGAATTTTTTTGTTTGTTACGGTACAATCAGAAATGCCAGAATTTTGAACAAAATTTGGCTGAATTCTTCCATACTATAAAGTCAAATTTTCATAATCAGAAATCATTTTAATTTGCTTCATCTAGTTAATTTATCGCTGAGGGCATGAACGTTGGCTCCTTTTTTAGACCTATCGGGCAAAGAATCTTATACTATTTTAGCTTGATTACTTCTATTCACACGACACTGACATCTAACCCTGTGATAAATATGTTTTCCGTCACGTTATGAAAGCACAATAAATTTCAAATTAAAATCAAAAAAAGATCTGAACACCTGAGTACAGCATGTTTTAATATTTACAATTAACACTGGCAATTTGAATATTTAAAATCATCCGTCTTGGCCCGCCTCTACTGCATTTGGAGAGTTGATGTTTATTCAAGTAAGATATGGAATGTCTTCATTTAATAGCTATAATAGGCTAGTTGACACTTTTTTAAATAGGTCTTAAATAGTTAATATTCGTTCTGTTAGAGTTAGACCAACAAAATTACTATATTTTTTCAGACCTAGAAGATCGTAATAAAATAAAAATATATTTTTCTTAGACAGGTGAAAACACTGTCCGCCATGTTTAAACATACTACGAGTAGCTGACCCGACAGATGATGTCCTGTCTTAGCTATAAACTGGCATTAATAATGAATGAATAATGAAAGGGTAAATATATGGAGTATAGGTAAATATATAGCGAAGTGTTTTTACGACAATGTGGCTAGCACAGTATGTTGGCAGCACTGCCATTCCCCCATCAACTTACCTTGAAAGTAGGCATGAAATTATGTCGAATGACTTTTGTTGCGCCAAATGAGACGTCATTTGAGAGCAAGTATTGTATTAAATAATAAAAAATGTATAGAATCCAACCCATTTCCGGAAACCAATGAATGTAGTGGGTCTGGTGATGGTACCAATGGAGTCACTTTGACGTTTCCACTGGCACAACATAATCCAGGGACTGCCTTTTTAAACTTGAAAGCCTTGCAATGTGGACACACAACGTTCATTGGTCCAATAGCAACGATTTGTTGAAAACTGTAATCGATTCCCACGTCATAACTGAATGCAGCTCGATTGGGATTACATGCGCCATTATACCCGTACGTTGTTGAATTTCAGTCCTTCGATCCCGTTCAACTTCATTTCTCGCTTCTCGTTAGTTTGACTTCTTCGTAGCATTGCGAGTTCTGCGACCTAGGTTGGTACGTCTAATTGGTGGCATTTTGAAGAATCACAATTTTAATGTAAGTGGTAATTGCGGTAAACAAAACTTCCACACATGTTAACTATTTTTGAGCAAATACTTCTCAAAAAACTCTCTGAACAAACTGAAAGCTGGTTAAAAGCTGTAATCGAATGGACTGTGCACTACTAATTGAATAAAAACATTTTTTCATCGATATTTATGTATGTTGAACGGTAATACCAATTTGCGCCGTGCAAGCTGTCAAGTTCAAAATGCGACTAGTGAAAGTCAATTAAGCAAAAGAAATGTATTTTTATCTGCCAGAGTTAACTGACATAGATAACAATTAGGCAAAACTGCAGTTTCTTTTGAAGGGGCCATCACAATAAAATACGGAGGGTAAATAAATGTAAGTCCAAAAAACGAAAGCACCGTGTTCTCACTAGCTGTTGGAATAAAGATGGCGGAGAGGAGTGCCTGTCTCTTTTGGTACCTGAGATATCTCTTCTGCTCAGTGTGCTCCATGCTCAAGCGAACTCTCAAACGCGCGTCGCTCAAATAATCATTAGGTTTTCAATGATATCCCACTTTTCTGCGCAATTTTCTTGATTTTTCTTTCCGTAAGAACCTTCTTTACAGTATTAAGAAACTTTTCAAAAAAACACGAATGAAATTGATAAAGTCGTTGTCAAGTTAAGGCGTGACCACTCGAAATAGTGATTCATTATATATACAGTGGAGCTCCGGTAATCTGACAAACATTATGCAGGGCAGTGTCGGATTATCGAATTTGTCGGACTATAGAGCACTGCCTAAGACCCCCTATAGTCCGGAATTTTTTATAAAAGAGTACCTTGTAATCCGACAAATTACATATCCAATGGTAAGATTATATATGTGTGTACTTTGAAGTACAAATCATACATAGTTTATGTATGTCGAATTTAGTAAATTAAAAACAATAGAGAGCTTACGTTTTATTATAAAATTAAGCATAAATGCACATACATATGTACCAAAATAATCAAGAATTATTAATCAAAATCATTAATGAATTTATCGAATTATGAAACTTGGAAATATCCATCAATTTTTTTTTTGTTTAAGGTTGTTATAACGCGAGATCAGAGCATTGTCCCTCAGTCTTCTCAAAAGTAAAAGTTCATTGTAGGATGTACCATTCTCTTCAGCCCATTGTAAACCTAGCTCAAAGGCGTTAATTGCGTCTTGTGCTGTGACTTGTGGAGCAGTTGCAATCACGTCGTCGTTATTTTCCTGATTGTTGTATAATTAGAAACCTCTTTTATAATCTCTTCGTCAGACATTTCATGAAAAACATTTTCCTCTTTATCCATTCCACGGCACCAGATTTCCAAATCTTCCGGACTTATGTGTTTCAGTAGCGACTTGTTCTATAACTTCCGAAATTACACTGATTTGTGGAACGTTGCTAGGAGTGGAGACTATATCAGGCCATAACTTTTGACTGACAAAGTGCAAAAACCAAGTCTTTCATATTAATATATTTTAAAGTTTTTTCTATTGGTTGGTCTTTTGATACGGTTCTCAGAAGTAGGTTTTTCTTATAGTCTTGCTTCACAAACTGAATGATATTCTGGTCCATTGGTTGAATCAGTGCAGTGCAATTTGGTGGAAGAAACATCGCAGTGATGCATTTATCCTCAGTTGTTGGTTCTTCTTCAAACGGATGACCGGGAGTGTTATTAAGAAGCAACAACGCTTTTTGAGAAAAATTATGATATTTTAACCATTTCCCAACTTCAGGTACGAAGCATTCATCAAACCACTTTTTGAAAGGTCTTTTGTCATCCATGCACTTTTTTGTCCGTAATAGTGTACAGGTAAATCAATGTTTTTGAATGCCCGTGGTTTATTAGATTTTCCAATGACCATCATCTTAAGTGCGTGTGTGCCCGCAGCGTTAGCACATGGTAGTATGGTTACACGCTCTTTACTTACTTTTCGTCCAGGTACGGATTTTTCGTTACAAGAAACGAAAGTTTTGTTAGGCATCTCACGCCAAAAAAGCCCTGATTCGTCTGCATTGTACACCTGTGGCGGGTCAAGATTTAAATCGTTCACCTTTTGCAAAAATCTTAATTTAAAGGGCTCTATGCAGGTGGCATCGTTAGAAAGTTTCTCTCCTGTAATGGTCATTAAACGTATGCCATGACGACTTTTAAAACGTTCTAGCCACCCTTTGCTGGCCACAAAATTATCTTTTTTTGTTATTTCCTTATAAAAAAACTTAGCTTTCATGGCCAACATGGGTCCTGAAATTGGTGCATGCCTATTTCTTTCCTGAAGAAACCACATGTACAAAGCTTCTTCCACTTCTGGATGTTCAGCTTTCTTGAGTGTCTGTCTCTTGCCTGGCCCGCAGTCAGTAGTTGACACGAACTTCTTGATCTTCTCGTGGTTTCCTTTAATGTCATAAATTTTAGATCGGCCTACGCCGTATTCACTAGCTAAACTACTGAAAGCTTCATTGCGATTTTTTCACATTTTTCTTTAATTGTCAATGTTTTGTGCTTTCGCTTCTGAGTTTGTGATGACTACTAGGTACTATACTTTATATACAATGAATAAATAGTAAACAATGAACGCACGCTAGGCCGTACCGCTATCACAAGTAGTCAGATTCAAACTAAGTAAAACAATGCTTACGCGTCGAGCACGATAGCGGTGGCGCGTACAGGTTGTAACCTGTTCAAACCTGCGTGATCTACATTAGCGAAGATTGTCAAATACGTATGTATGTAATATCCACACATGTCGGATTACAGGGGACGCCGGATTAGACAGGGGCCGTATTATCGGGGGTCCACTGTATATACATAAAGATGAATATGAATTCTACTAGTTTACATGAAAAGTTTAGCAATTATCGTTACTGAAGCGTCCGAGAACGTGAAAACACGTCGATTACGAGGGATGTCTTTTAAGTTTTGCATATGGAAATAAAACAACACGGTAGGTAGTTTTAAATGACTTTATTGTTTTTCGAAGTATTCTCCACGAAGATTAATACACATCTGCATGCGCTCGAACCAATTTTCAATGCACTTATTCCACTCGTTTGCCGGCAGATCCAAAACGGCATTTTTGAATGCGTCAACAGCTTCTTCTGGTGACTGGAACCTTTGACCACGCAGTCTGTTTTTAATTTTCGGGAAAGTAAAGAAATTGTTAGGACTTAGATCGGGACTATAAGGAGGATGGTCCAATAATTCCACGTTTTCTTCCGTTAAATACTGCCGAAAACAGGCAGTAACTCAGCAAGGCATTCTTGTTGCGATAATTGTCTCTGAAAGTTGTAATAAATTATGGCGCGAAAATGTTCTCGGTTGAGTTCCATTTTTCTAATGACTTGGTGGCACTTAAAAATTCACAGTAGTGAGAACACTGCACGTATTGTTGTGAAACTTTGAATTTAAGTTTACTAAAGAGTGAGGTTAAGATTAAGTAGTGACGTTCGATCCGCGCGGCCTACTATGTTTCTATATGCAAAACTTAAAAGATATCCCTCGTATCGCATGATTTCGGCTTCGCGGGATTTTGTCGAATAAAAAATGTCGACCGAGATTCGAGAATGGCCTTCCCCCTCCCCTAGCATGACCATATTCTCGGTTAGTAACCCTTTTCATACGCTTTTCCCAAATAATTTGTCTAGTTATAATTTCCACGGAACTCTATTCGATTTTCGCCAGATTACCTGGATTATACGTCAACCTTTTGAGTAATCGGTCGCTGCAGTTCTACGTGCGACACCAGACTGCAATTTAGTCACAATAGCTAGGCTATAGTTGCCATGGTTATATTCAAATATTCCAACAAAAATACTGTACAAGATAATTCCTTCCCTCTGCATCTTTCGTCTACAGTCTGACTATAATAATGTGTTTAACCATAGATGCTAGAGGACGTGGCAGTTTGGCGAAGGAAGGACTGACAGGAATGCAGCAGCTCTTCTGAAGGCAGCAACAAATCGGAAGATCCCAAGATTCAGGTTTGGTCGTTACAGGTGTTTTGTAGATTGAATGTGGAACAATAAAGAAACTAAAAAACTGGAAACTTTCATTTGTTTTATTGACAATTATGGAAAAGATTATGGATATAAATTGGAATAACCTGAAATAACCTGAAGTTCGTATCGAGGAAATTCAATTTTCAGCTAACCGCGCATTTACGTACCCGATATGTATCTGCTGGATGTCTCAGCATTTAACATACATATATGTATATTTCTCTAAGTATCTGGTATGTCAAACATTGGTGAGAGAAACTCTTGCGTAACAAATCACGTTCATAGTTGTGCGCTATGTGAGATTATTTTCTTGTTTTAAATTAAAGCGTAAAAGAACATTTTCTTTAAATATTATGTTAGACAGGTGGTCTTTTCGTCTTCTGAGAATATACCCAGTCCTTCATTTGAGACACCAAGAGGCCTCCTAGAATGATCTGTGTTGGATGGTAAACAAGCAATGGCAAACTTATTTGACTTAAGTGGGAGTAACCATGGAACATGATGCGTAAAATTGGTATCCCTGCAAAAATTTTATAATTAATAAATTGAATTGGTCATTCAAAAACTTCACAAGTCACAATTTGACTTTTCCAGAGATAACAAAAACTATGGCGTTAACAAACCCGTTTTTAAGAACTCTGTTCAGCTCAATATAATATTTGAGTTTTGAGAGATTAAAATGTCCAATAACCTTCATGGTTGATTAAAAACAATAATGGAGAAAATCCGAAAAACCGTCATTAACTGAAGTTGTTTTAGCAAAATAGGGTCAGTGGAATACTCATATAGCTTTAAGCAAAAGAATCCATATTAATTATATTTTATTGCTTATTACTGAAAATTACACTTGAATATTATAACTTTGGAATGACCGATTCAGTTGGAAAAAATGTTTTTACTTTGCGATATTTTTTGCTGTTCACGTGCATGTTTGTAAGAAATACGAAGGTACTATTTTCTCCTTATTGTAGCAGCAAAAAGCTCCACTTACCTAAGGTTAAAGATTTGTGCGTAGAGCAAAACATTATTGCAATAATATCTTGTGGACTAAAATATCTTCTCAACCTATTAGCAAGTTTAAAGCTCAGGAACATGAGGCTGATTTGTAATATTAACACTGAAAAGACATTTTATAATGACATTTTCTGATAGTACAAGCCTCTAAAACACCGTGAAGGAGAGTTGGAGGTGGAAATCATATGCATGGTGTCCCATTTTAACCTTTCTAGCTAAATATTCTAAAAACTGTAATTCTAGAAAAAAGTTTCAAATAAAAAGTGTGTATAAAGGGTTTCGATGGAGCAAAATGTTGGTAACCATGATAATGACCTTGACTAAGACCTCTGAGTTCACTTCAACGTCAAGTGAATATTTTCAAATGGAACCCCCCTTTTTCACATCGGAATTGAAAAGGGACGCCAATTTTAAGTCAGAACATCACCATGGCCTTGAACGTTTCCTTCAAAGACACATCATATATTCGCAGGGGACTTCTCATTTTTATACTGTAAATGGAAAAAAAGAAAAGTTTGCCCAAATGTGACCGTGACCTCAAACAACATTTAAGCTTGACATGACCTTGACTTTGAGGTCAAAGGCACATTCAAGCGAAAAAATTTCTTGCTTTTTCCATTTGCGATAAAAAAAGAGTTGAATTGACCTGAAAGTTCATGATCAAGGTCACCTTTGGGTAATCCCCACAAACCTTGAAATAGCGTTTAATACAATGGTCAAGCTCATGGCCAGAGTGATGTTCTTACGGAAAATACATGCTTTTTTCAATTCCGGGGCTTTCATTTGAAAATACTCTCTTGACCTTGGAATGATCTTGGATGAAGTAGTCAAGCTCATTGTCAAGGACATCTACAGCAGTTGTCAAAATATTTAGGTGGTTAGATTAAAATGGGACACTGTGTACATCTCGATACGCTTAGACAGCTGAGTTACTGTTGCAACCACATAGTACTGCTGATGCATTGCACATTTAAGGCTAAACTTTGCACTCTCAACTCGCCTTGAGACATAGGTTCACTTGTGGTCAGCAGCTAAATCTCAGTGCCGTCTAGCTGAATAATCAGTTTTTTCCAACAATGAGTTTCTGTTAGTCCCGAACGGTAATTTCCAATGGAACAGATTAGTTCAGCGCGTAGCTAGACAAAATCGTATCGTTAATTTATATTGGAAAGATACGGATAATTATTAAAAATATTTAAATATTACCGGAAAAAACTGTGAATATCACATCCATTGCTGAAAGGCCAGTTTCCGGTACCAGGAATGTATCGCAAAAAGTGGTATATATCACAAACAGTAAAGCCGATTGTCCTATGGTATTCAGAGGCAGTCGCTGCCCCCTGAGGTTTGTTCGACTCTTCACGGCTTGGCCTAAAGACAGAGGTACTAGCACAGTTATAATGAGTTGTATTACTGTGCCTAGTAATGGTACTATGGTTGTAGATCCTAACTGAAAGAAATGTAATTGTACAGTGCAGAGCAGTAATAAAGGCTATAACTAATACTTACATTGAATAATAGTAATATGGGGGTTATCATTATTCCTAAAAAACTTCCTACGACAGAATTGAAAATCGCTGCTGTCTCGTTGCCATGAGCAGTTCTGGTCAATATTACAGCACTAGACACAGGTGGAGGCATACAAGCGACTGTTATAAGCCTAAAAATTTCAAATCAATCATGTGAAAACACATGTAGTAATGGTTATGTTCAGTCACACAGAACAAATTCAGACTAGGTAGAAGACATGCAAGGATTTGTTTGTCTCTTAATTCTCATAGTCTACGGACACTCACTACAGTGAGGACCAAAGTTCTCTTAACATAAGTAAATTTTTTGACAGTTGTCAATATTACACAACTGTAGTATCTGTGAAAAACATTTTTGTACTATTATAGTGTAACGTTTACGTATAGCTTGGACCATGAGCGGCGCGAAGTCGCCTTGCAGAGTCGACGCTTAGGCCACCAGTTACACGACCGTGTGTGAGCGCTTGCGAATATATTTAATGAAGTTTCTGATATGTTAGACAGAGACAAACAGAATTTTATTGTCTAAACCATTGATCCCAAAGTGGTCTATATCGACCCCTAGGGGTCTATGACAACCTGCAAGGGGTCTACGTCAGCGAAAAAAAATTTGGGGGTCCATGAAATGAATATAGGGGTCCACGATAGTGGATCTCAATACATACACTGATAGTACCTATTTACTTACATCATACTATCTTATAATATCAAAACATATACATTATTTATAAAAGTACCTATGAAGTAAAAAATTTATTATATATGTTTATAAAATTGTGGGATGTTGGTATTCGCTTTGTGGTCGCAATACATTTTTAACTTGTAAAAACCTGAGAGTCGCAGTCTCAGAGCTTCGCTACCTTGCATTGACTTGTTCAATTTGTCACTCTATAAATACGAATGTGGGACAAATACGTTTATTCGTTTCCTGAATCTTGAAAAGGAAAGTGCTAAGAAAATATTTTAAAAATACAAACAGATAGTATATCACAAAAATTATAGTGAGTCAGTCTTATTTTGTTTGGAGAAAAGTAAGTACATCATTTTTTATAAAATTTTAGTTTTGTACTCGTAGTTAGCAAAGATAGATAAATTACACCAATCATGACTTTAGTTATTAGTAGTTAAATATTCAATCATGCAAAATTACACGAGTACTCCTCAATAGTTTCTTTTTGAAAGTTTTAGCAATCGGTAATATAATTGCAGTGCAATCTCCGTAATTCGAGCTAATTGTTGCAAGAAGATGTTCGAATTATGGAATTTTTTCGGAAAAATCAAAAAATATTTTTAAATTACAGCTGTTGGATTTTCTGTCTTATTTAAATAATTTAATTTTGCCCACAGACGACTGATGCCATGTCCGAATCTAAAAAGAAATGTAGACAGTACAGTGTTGATTATTTGAAATTTGGCTTCATCCCATCATTGCCGGACAAACAATCGCCTATGTGCCTTTTAAGCAACAAAGTTTTGGGCAATGATGCTATGAAACCATCTAAACTGCAAGATCATCTGAGAAGATGCCACCCTGATAAAATAGAGAAAGGTTTGAAATACTTTCAAACACTCAAAGATAAATTTCAGAAGAGACCTACACTGGACAGAATGTTCGCTTCGACGTCACAAAGAAATGATGATGGTTTGCGGGCGTCTTACAATATCTAGTTACTTATAGCAAAATCCGGAAAACCGCATACTGTCGGAGAGAAGTTAATTTTGCCAGTTGTTGAAGAGGTTTTAAAAACTGTTTTACACAAACCTGCATCTGATATCATTAAAAGAATTCCCTTAAGCAACAATACTGTTGAAAGACGTATTGATGAAATGAGTTCTGATATTGAAAGCTTCTTATGTAATTATTTGCAAACGACCCATTTCTCTATACAACTGGACGAGTCAACTTTACCTGATAATGCAGCATTATTATTGGCATATGTTCGTTTTATTATGAATCAAGAAGTCTACGAAGAACTGCTCTTCGCAAGAACTTTGATAACCGACACTAAAGGTGAATCAATATTTCATGTTTTGAACGATTACTTCATTGAAAAAGTAATTCCTTTATCAAATATAAAATCAGTAGCTACAGATGGAGCACCTGCCATGGTTGGAAGTTATCGTGGATTTATAAGCTATTTAAAACAAACTGTGTCAGGGGTGTTAGCAATACATTGCGTCATCCATCGACAACATTTAGTTGCTAAAAATTTGAGTGTTAGATTGCATGAATCACTTCATTTAGTCATTGATGCAGTAAACCGAATCCGAAGCAACGCGTTGAATACGCGGTTATTTGCGCAGTTGTGTGAAGAAAATGACGAACACTTTCATAAATTACTCCTTCACACTGAAGTACGCTGGCTGTCGAAAGGCTTATGTTTGACAAGATTGTTTGCACTTTTTGAGACTATTTTAGAATTTCTGGATATTAAAGATAAAATTTTAAAAGAAAATTTAATGAAGAGGAAAACAGACATCGCCTATTTAACAGATTTTTTTACAAAATTTAATATGGTTAATTTGCAATTACAAGGCAACATTTTAAATTTGATTAAAACAAAGTCCATCTTATCAGCGTTTCTTGCCAGAGTTAAACTAATGAAGCAAAATATTGGACGGGGCGAATTTTCTCAGTTCCCCAATTTATCAGACAAGTTGCCAGGAAGACGACGTTTCAACTTACGTTCAACATATAAATGCCCTCTATTCAGATTTAGAATCTAGGTTTGAGGATATTTTGACTATGACCCTTACAAAATTGACGCCAAATGTTGATAATTTATTATTAAAGCATCAGGTTCATCCTTCTCACTAAAAATATTGACTTATTGCTTATGTTATTTTATTTATAGTTTATTTTATGTTTATTGGTGTCTGACCAATAAATGCCCGCATTGGGAATAAGTGCCCGCATATACTTATAAGAATTACTATATGCGCTGTCTTTTTGCTGTTCTTTTAAGGATCGTTTCTGGAGCATCTCTACTAAGAGTCCAACAGTCGTCTGCAAGCATGGAAGGATTCCACTTTACCTGGTACCTTTTTTCCATTGTTGAAATATCCTGATGAAAACGTTCGCCGTGCTCATCACTTACGGCTCCGCAATTGTCAGGAAAAAAGTCCAGGTGTGAGTGTAGGAAATGTATCTTAAGAGACATATTACAGCCCATCTTTTGATACGATGACAGCATATTTTTGACAAGGGTTTTATAGTTGTCAGCTTTTCTATTTCCCAAGAAATTAGTGACCATCAGACGGAAATCATTCCAAGCAGTTTTTTCAATACCTGTTAGTGTTTTCAAACTGTGTATCTTTCAAAATATTTCGAATCTGTGTCCCAACAAAATACCTTCTTTAACCTTTGCCTCACTTAGTCTTGGAAATTTCTGACGCAGGTATTGAAAAGCTGACCCATCTCTATCTAATGCCTTGACAAAGTTTTTCATTAGGCCCAACTTGATAGGCAGTGGTGGTAATAAAATTTTTTTCGAATCTACTAATGGCATATGCTGTACAGTTTTTTGACCTGGCTCTAGGAATTGACGAACAGGCCAGTTTTGTCTGGTGTAATGAAGTGCCTTTGCCTGACTGTCCCATTCACACAAAAAATAGCAAAACTTTGTGTAGCCTAGCTGCAGCCCAAGTAAAAGTGCAACAACTTTCAAATCGCCACAAATATGCCATTGGTGCTCATCGTATTTTATGCATGTCAATAGGTACTTCATATTGTCATATAATCCTTTCATGTGAACTGCATACCCTACAGGAAGAGATGGTAAAATATTTCCAATATGCAATAACACTGCCTTTAAACTCAATGTTGAACTGTCTATAAACAATCCCCATTCTTCTGGGTTATAGTTTATATTTAAAGCCGCCAGTAAGCCGTTAATGTTACTGCAGAAAACCAAGTTATTCTCCATATTGAAAAATGGTTCTGTCTTTGTGGCGTTTACGAAAAACACATACCGAAACATCGTCTTCTAACAAGTTCCACTGCTGCAGTCTTGATGCAAGTAACTCTGCCTTACGTTTGGAAGTTCTAAATCTCTACAAGATCATTTAATTCTGACTGTGTTATTTTGTGCGGTTGGTGGCATGACGTGCTCGGTATAAAATCAGGATATCTTGACGTTGATGGCATATCTTCTTCCTGACGAATCACTCGATCGCCATGATCTGATTCGTTTTCTGATTCGCAAGTGTAGGATTCTGGGGGTTTTGGAATAGGATTTTCGTCACTGTGAGGCACAGGTCTCATCGCAGATGGTATGTTTGGGTAGTTAATAACCGATTTTTTTTTCTTGGACATACCTGTGGCTTGTCCAACACAAGGTACCATGCAAAAGTAACAATAATTAATATGATTTGTAGGCTCTCTCCAAACCATTGGGACAGCAAAGCGCATAGACCGTTTCTTGCCATTTAACCAGCTCCTCAGACTTGAAGCACATGTATTACAGCAGATGTGGGGTGCCCACTGTTTGTCTTGATCACCTATTTTACAACCGAAATAAAGCTGATATGCCTTTGTTATTAGTGGAGTAATAGACCGTCTCTGAGACGCAAAAGTCACATCACCACACACGTAACAAAACTGATCTGGATTGTTTACACACTTTCGAGACATCTTGCATGAACGCTGTCAGCCAACTGAGGAAAAAATGGCTAATATAAAACAATATAATGTACACGTATGTATAACGTAACACAATCATGCCGATTACATCATCTTTCCTTGCCGAATATAAAAATGTAGCATGTGCATTCTTGTGAATTACAGTATATTAACACACAGCAGGAACACATATAATTACCGTATATCTAAAACTTGAACTAATATTGAAAAAATAAGTTTCATTCCGGTTTTAGCACATTAAAAATAGTAATATTTTGTTGATTTTATTTAGCATATTTTTTGGCTGTTCATCAGTGTAATCGGTGCTTTTTCGTCTACAACTGTATATGGAAAGTTTAAATAAGAAACCTGGGAGAAATGTTTTTTCCCGATTTTTTTTTTAATGATGGAACCATGGCTTTGTAGCTATGATAACTTTCAATTCTCTAAATTTTTCCGCATGTCAAAGAAAACATTTATTGATTCAGCAGAAATGATGAAAAAAGATATTAGCAAAACCGTATACAGGTGGATATCATCTAGTGAGTTTATATGGCCATATTTTAATATTTTTTATGGTAAAACTGAAGTCAGCCTGTATCATTTTTCTCAAAAATGAAGCTGAAGTACAATAACAATATCCAATACCCGGCAAAATTCTAACTTGTCACATTTCAAATAATAACCAGAAATATAAAACTACTCTTGAGTTGGGTAAATACCACAATTTTGCGGTGATAACTATGACATATAACAGTTGATTCGTGACGTCACGGATCTTATAACCAAACTGATAACTACATTCGCTTGAACCCAAAATGGTAAATACCATTTCCATTTGGTTATCCGCTTGAATTTGATTATAGATATTTGTATGGAGTTTTGCATTTATCTAATGATTTTTGACTTCAATTAAAGTGAATTCTAGAAATTATTTGATGGCACACTTACTAAGTTTGGTAAGTTGACATAAATCAAATCCAAGCGGATAACCAAAATTTCCATATTATGTACCGCGGTTATAATATGGTTCAAGATGACACACGAGATGATGACGTCAGTTACTCGAATCGCTTGAACGCGTTGGTTTTAACCGCGGTTTGTCGCAAATTGTTTATTTTAGAAAAGCGCGTACATAATTTCAATTATTTTTATTATCACTTAATAATCGGTGCTTTTTCCTCTACAACGGGGTATGGAAAGTTGAAAAAAAATAAAAAACTTTCATAATATTAATGGGAGGAATGTTTTTTTTTTCAGAAAAAAATGTTTACTGATGGAACCATGGCTTTGTAGCTATGATAACTTTCAATTCTCTAAACTGTTCCGTACTAGCGGGTGACAGGTCTTATGTCAATGTCATTTAAAAAATAAGCATCTCAATTGAAAATTTGTCTACGCAGTGCCGAAAATTGAGTTAAATCATTAAATCATAAATGGAGGAACACGTCCACCTGATTATAATGACGAGTGAGACGGTCATCGAAGATATATGAACCGCACTTGTCATATGAAATTATTGATATATATGTACATTGCACAAAAAACGATCGGTCTTTTTATTTCAGATTCAAACAAGTTTATCAAGAAGCTCAAAGCAAACATTTTGGGCAATATGGGCCATCTAACCACTCCCCGTGTAACTTGAAACTGTCAAAGAGAGAGGAAGGGGAATGAATGAATGACTGAATCTTGAAATTAGAGGCATTCTGGCCACCATAAGGAGCCAATGCATAGGCTGCTTAAGCGGGCCCTTATCCACCTCTACAATCCTTAGATCACAAGCCTCGCCCTTTTAGTGAAGTTGAGAATCGCCTCGAGTCCAAGCTCCTTGACGTCCTGAGGGTCCAAAGTAATGGACCCCAGTATAGTCTGCCTATAGTAGCTTAGAGCTTCACAGCGACACAAAACGTGCGCCGAGGTCTCTTCCTCTACTCCGCAGCGTTCTCACAAAGGATCCTCAGCCACCCCCATCACGTGCAGGTGACGCCTTAACGTGTTATGGCCAGGCAACAGTCCCACCAGCAACCTTAGGTAGACTCTATCCAGAGATAGGCAGAAGCGTCCATCCTTAGCACTTGGCCCTTCAATGAGTTTTCGTGCCTGGCGGAGATGTCTGGAGATACTTCTCCATTTCTGAGAGTGTTGTCTTGCAACCCACGTCTCCATTTTCCTCCTAGCTTTATGCGCGGTCACTCCTAGAGCTGGCTCAGGACCAACGAGCTTGCTGGCTGATCCTGTCTTCGCCAGAGTGTCCGCCGTCTCATTGCCCCTTATCCCAGCATGCCCCGGTACCCATATTAACGATACCGGATGCCTCGCTGCGAGGAAGGGGAAATTCCGTCTGTTCCCGCTCCAGTTCACTACGGGATCTCGCGAAAAAATCTGTATTATTGACTGATTGATGATTGAATTTGTCATGACTGACAAATATGACAATCACTTGATAGTTTTAGGTTATTTGATGGAATGTTTAGAAAAGTTTTACTGCACATAATACGAATGGCATCTGGTGTTTTGAAGCATATTATTTATAATTCAAGTAAAATGGTACACTCACATACTGCCATAAAAGACATACCTCAAATCGGTAAGAGTATTTTACCAACTAAATTAGTTTCTGTATTTTTATTATACTAATACTATAGATATATTATCCATAATTAGATCGTTGTTACCAAATTTAATTGACTGTTCACTAGACTACAAGTCAAGACCTTGTAAAACCCAGCTACCAACCCTTCAATACTTACCCTTTGAGTACCCATGAATGGATTCCAAAAAATGATAATAGCCAAACAAATGCTTGCGTAAATACTGGTATAAAAAGGAATGTATAAAGTTGTATAAAAAGATGCAATTTCAACTGTTGCAACGTTGAGAAAATGTCCTCAGTTTGAAGCGAAAGGCCACTTATTAAAAAAATTATGAATACAGCTCCATACTTCACACTGTATTCAGTACGTAGGGGACCTGGAATAGTAACATTAGAGCCATGTAAGTTGCTCTATTAATGGTTTCTCACCCTGTTTTGAACCAAGGTCTGGATAAATGGCTGCAACAAAAATACATCCTAAAATTCCTACAAGCAGCCAATTTTTTTGCAAAAAGCGTGCTGGTGTGATTCGGTGTTTCATTATTTAAATGAGGCCGATCACAACGTTTGAATAAAAAATCGATGGCAACATTTTGAATACCAAACATTTATTTTGAATTTGAAAGTGAGGTTATCTTTTTAAACGCTATTCTCACGTCAAACCATGGAACAAAGAGTGACAAAGATACAAGGCCTCAAGATATAATACACGGAAAGAAGGGCAACCCAATGCATTTTGACTCGCGACACGTCGCCGCCATACTGCATTGAATGTAAAATCAAATCCAAGCGGATAACCAAAATTTCCGTATTATGTACCGTGGTTATAATATGGTTCAAGATGACACACGGGATGGTGACGTCAGTTACTCGAATCGCTTGAACGCGTTGGTTTTAACCGCGGTTTGTTGCAAGTTGTTTATTTTAGAAAAGCGCGTATATAATTTATGATTATTTTTATTATCACTTAATAATCGGTGCTTTTTCGTCTACAACGGGGCATGGAAAGTTGAAAAAAAGAAAACTTTCATAATATTAATGAGAGGAATGTTTTTTTTCCGAAAAAATTTTTTACTGATGGAACCATGGCTTTGTAGCTATGATAACTTTCAATTATCTAAACTTTTCCGCATGTCAAAGAAAATATTTTTTGATTTAGCAGAAATGATGAAAAAAGATATTAACAAAACCGTATACAGGTGGACATCATCCAGCGAGTTTATACGGCCATATTTTAATATTCTTGTGGTATATGGCTATACAGGATACTTTTTTAAGTGTAGGAACTAGATTTAAAGTGTCCCCAACAACAGTGATAATTATAAATAATAAGGTGCTCTCTTATGCTAAAACTGAAGTCAGCCTGTATCAAGTTTCCCAAAAATGAAGCTGAAGTACAATAAAAATATCCAATACCCGGCAAAATTCTAACTTGTCACATGTCAAATAATAACCAGAAATATCAAACTACTCCGGAGTTGGGTAAATACCACAATTTTGCGGTGATAACTATGACATATAACAGCTGATTCATGACGTCACGGATGTTATAACCAAACTGATAACCACACTTGCTTGAACGGATCGGTAAATACCAATCCAAAATGGTAAATACCATTTCCATTTGGTTATCCGCTTGAATTTGATTTAAGTCTCGGCACCTGTCAATGTTAAGTCAACTGTCATTAGTGTCACTGTCATAAATATGTAATGTTCATTTTCTTTGATATTTTTCCTTATCGTAAATATTTAATGTTTTTGTAAGAAAACATTTTCCCTAAGGTTAAATTTTAAAACTCTCAACAAATGTATAAAACTGGATTCGCTCTATATCGGTGAATAAAACAAGATGAATCAACATGGAACCATTTGTTCTTGTAGATAATTTGAAATGGTGCGTCTACAATATAATGGAAAGAAAGACACATATTCTGAAAGATAAGTCCAGAATATCGTCTCAAAAGTAAACCAGTAAAAACTTACACCACCAAAAAAATAAATAAAACTTTGAGAAACCTGTATGTAAAAGCTACAAATTTCTGGTGAAGACAGTTTTGTTTCCAGGCAATTCTGAACCATAAGGACGTCTATGGCCGACTTTAGACTCAATAACAAAGAAAGTTTACCTTCTCGCGCCTATGTGTATCTGTCCTCTTAGCTTTGCTGATTGTGTCAGATGTCAGTATAAATGTTTTGGGTGTCATTATGCGCTTGCGCTGTACATTGACTTTTTGCTGAGGTGTTGGAGATTTTATAATCTGAAATTTTATACACAATTTTGCATTGTTCTTCTGACTTCTGGCTAATTGGTGGAAAACAGCTGCAACAGCGTGATAGAAGGAATAATGGATACCGAGGGTGTGTATGGATACATATAGCTAAACATCAATATCTGCCATATTTAATATGAGTACACTGGTGGCTAGTATTAAAGTTATTCTCTACATTCAATATACCTACTTTCTTATTGTTCTGCAAACGTCAAAAACTCGCTTTGCAAGTCCCACTTTTTTAAATTGATGCGAATCGTAAATGTATACAAGCTTAAACAAATAATGTTATTTATATCCAAAGGAGTACTGAACAAGGAGCTTCTGGAGAAGTTTAAGAAGTCCTTTTATGCTGATGAAAAGAACATACTGGCTCAAAATGTTTGCTCGCGGACCGATATATTTGATGTCTGTCTGTCTAGAAAAGTGTTGGAAGAAACTCAGCATGTTTTTAACCATAAGGTAAGATGCAATTAAGGTCAGCCTTTTATTTATTGAACTTTTCATTTTATTGTATGAGATCTACAGTTTATATCACAGAAATGAGAATGGCTTAGTGACACATATATTTACAGGAAATATTTAATATTCATGTTTTACATTTTATTTCTTGGGTAAGACTTGGAGTAAAAACACTGAACTCGGTCCAGTGGCGGCGGAGAAGTGCCAAAAAAACTTTTTTTTTGACGATTCTGATATTTTGAAAAAATTTTGGGGGATAAAAATTGAAGGTTAAGGGCTGCAGGGGGTAGGAGAGGGTTTATGTCAGTTTTTTGGCATTGGTATATTTAACCCCAGTAATTCTACACAGATATAAGGCATATTTCACTCATCATATAGATGTCCCCATACTTTTACCCATAAAACTTAGAAATATCTCCTATATTCAAGTGTTGATAGACCTTGATGGACAAGTGTCATCATTGGAGGTCATATGTGACACTTTGGCAGTTGCTTGCACACTACTCTGGACTGCATGCACTGTGCATGGTAAACATACTTGACACCATTATTACATATAATGGTGTCAAGTATTACAATCCAATAAGTACCACAACAAACTTAAGGAGAAGGTAGGCCTTGGACTGATCTCCCAAATAACAAAAACTTACCTATATAAAAGTGTCAGCATTTTTGAGATATTGAATTTTTTTTTAAATTTTAAAAAACAAACCTTTTCATCTGTGGTCTTTAGCTGCATATACAAATAAGGTTATACTTTATTCATTTTTTCTATAAAAACTTCTAGATAGTTGCTTTATCTATCATGTTTTGATTTGGGATATGTTGTGCCTTCTGTGCATTTAGCTGGTTGGGATATGTTTGTAATTTATGTTTTAAATAGTTCAGAGTAATATTTTCAGTTCTATTTTGTTTTTGTTTCTTACTGCATATGAATCTAAATGTTTTTTCAGGATCACTTTCACCTCTACCTATTCTCCATTTAATATTTCTGGGTACAACGACCTTGTATTCTCAAGGTGTAGATAGATGACTACCGATCCTTTTCCACACGTACTTCAGTAGTAGACTCTGTTTACTGTTCAAATTATCATTCACATTTTCACTGCTGTTACAAAGTTATTATGTCTGGTGGTGGTAGCTGTATTGATTCCTTTGTTTTAGATATTCAACTTCTTTTTTAAACAGAGCTGACAATTCCTATTCAAATTTTGTGTCTGTGATTGTGCTATTTTTTTGTCCATCTACATGTGCAGTATGTGCTTCTTCAGCTTTGTATTTCAACTTGTTAATAATCACATAAAAAGTTCCTATACATATTGCCACCATTTTCTTGTATCACCTTGTACATTTAAGAGTAATCGCTGGACCCTACTCCAAGCAGTACAAGTAATAATATTAATAACAACCTACTTAGCACCATTTTTTCAGTGGTTATATAGATTTAATATACTTCAAATACATTGAAAATACACTAAATTTGGAATAAGTCTCTTAACAGAGTAATCAAAATTATTTTGACAACATATATGTGGAAAAGTTCACACATAGATGATTGCATGCTTCAAAGGCTAGTTATTTTATCACTTGAAAATATTTCCATTTTCAGGAAATCATGAATATCTAAAGAATAATGTACATTATGAAATAAATCAGTACTAGAAACTTTCAGAATGTATTTTTGTTAGATATTTTATACTACTACAAAGACTCTTTGCGGATTATGTATGGGTTGATAATGTTCTGAAACCAAAATAGTTTATTTTCCACCTGCCACGGATCCATATATCCATGTCAAATTCTCCAGCCATATTCTATCAAATGTGCTTGGTATGTTGCATCTGTATAAACAATAAAACCTTGATTGCAAATTCCACTTGAAACGGGCTGAGTGTCATCACAGTAAACATATAAATATATTTGCATGTTTGTGATATATGTATATATTTTAAAAGATAAGCTGCTACCAGGAATGAGATGCATTGTTCAAAGCTTATACTATCTAATCTTAAAAGTGCTAATGAACTGTCAAGGTGAATGAAGTCGATTTTACTTTCCACGCCATTAGCATGGAAGTATTGTAATCGTGAAAAATTTAGAAAACGGAATATCATATTTTTTGGACATTAGATGATGTGTGCATGACTAAAAATCAGTTCGGTTCGTCTGTCTATCTGTCTCTCTGCGAATCCTTGACCCCCCTATAACTTCGAAAACACGGCTCGGATTTATATGAAATTTTGATACAAGGTTACTATTCTGCCAAGGATGAAAAAGCTTTATAGTTTTTGAATATCAGTTCAGTGGCGGCGTAGCTATTGGCAAAAAAAAATATCGCTCAAACTTGTTTTTTTTTTTGACGTTCCAGAGATTCCTAATTATTTACAGAAAAAAAATGTAGGGGTTGGGATTGTAGTCGGTGGTGGCTGTCGAGATTCCGTCGTTGGTAAGTGACGAGGTTCGACATTTCCAGATGGCCGGTACTATCCGTAGGACAGGGTAGAAGTTTCTAGATCGCCAAGTTGTCAATTGGGTGGGGACCATGGACTTATTGTATGGGCATGTTTAACTGATTTGATCCGTTTAATTTTTTGTTATACATGTTTCTAGATAACTTTTTCCTTAGATGGGCTAGGTTGTGCCGAATATAATCCTTTGTGAACTGATGAAAGCGTTGCGTGGGAAGTGCAAAGTCAACCTAAGTGACGCTGTTTTTTCTACAGCTTTTTGTATTCATTACCTGTGCAAACTACCATATTAAACAAATTGTGGCAAAATAAATTCTAAAACAAAATAATTAGTTGCAATTATTCGTGAGACTAACTTATTTGTGATTGTATAGACTTCACAGTTCAGGGCGGCCAACTAAGAATGCGAGGTACTGTATCTTGGAATCTATCCACCGTAGAGGCTCGCGGCAAAAACAGTTATCAATAGAACGGCCAAGAGAAAAAAGCACAAAAATTCCTCATAGGAACGCGAAACTATTGACAATTTGAGGATTATTTGTTTTAATTAGGTATTTGTTGTGCTTCTATTAATTGTCTTTTCCATATATATCCGTAGTGAATATGCATTTAACCCTTAAACGCCGATTTGGGGTCCCGCTAGGACCCCAAGTGACAATTTTATCTGATATCCTTATTATTTGAACACATTGGCAACGTTACTTCTAGGTATGTGTTGGTAAATGCTTGACCAACAATATTTCAGTATGCTGCGGCGAATCGTAGTGATCGTGTCTGGTAATTAGCGTTATAGGTAAGTGGGGTAAAGCTGCGACCCCGGTTCGGCATTAAGCGGTACCAAAGATTTGCGACAATAAATGTATATTTTTCAGATATTTCGCTTAAAATTTACCGTTGGGAGCAAACTAGGCCACTTACACAGAAAGAACTGGAAGAAATAATCAACGAAACTGATTTTGATGCTGAAATTGGGTGTGGAAGCGATGAAGAATCGGGCAATGAGGAGGATCAAGATGTGATGGTGGAGAATGTGTCGGAAACGGAGGACCACCTAGAAATACACAGTGAAGTGGAGTCGGACGAAGAATATACCGAATCTCAAGAAGCCGCGGGTGCCACATATACTGCTAAATCAGGTCTTCAATGGAATAGTAAACATTTTGTTAGAACTAGACGACTACAAAAAAATATTATAGATGCACGTCCAGGAGTTACAAATTACAGTAAAGGAGCTAACACATTTTTAGATATTTTTAACTTATTTTTGACAAAGGAAATGAAAGAAATTATTTGTCGTTACACCAATGAAGAAGCTACAAGATATTTTGATGAGTGGAATATCAAAAATCCAAATCGTCAAAAAAAATGGTCGATTCTTGAAGAAGATGAACTTGACAGCTTCTTAGGAGTACTCCTAAAAGCAGGTGCACTAAGGTGTAGAAAGGAATCAACACGAGAAATGTGGTCAACTGATACTTCTATACGCCGTTCATTTTTTACTGCAGCTTTGTCGCGGGACCGATTTGAGCAGATATCAATTTTTTACGCTTTGACAACAGAGCAGAAAGAAAGGAACACGACAAATTAGCAGCAATAAGAGATATTTGGGATATGTTTGTTGACAATTGCAAGAAGGCATTTGAGCCATACGAACATGTCACGGTTGATGAACAGTTAGTTTGTTTCCGTGGAAAATGCCCATTTAGGCAATACATAAAGTCAAAGCCTGGACGATACGGTATAAAAATTTGGGCAGCTGCTGATGTTAAAACATCATATTTATGCAATCTTCAGGTATATACGGGAAAACCTCGCGGTGGTGTACCAGAAAAAAATCAAGGTTTCCGTGTAGTATCAGATTTGGTAGAACCGTATCACAGTTGGCGAGGAATAACTACAGATAATTTTTTTACAAGTGTTCCCCTCGCCAACTATTTGTTGACCAAAAAACTCACATTACTGGGAACTGTTAGAAAGAACAAACCTGATACACCAGTCCTGCTAAACATAAAATCGAGACCAGTAGAATCGTCCATATTTTTATTCGCTAAAGATCTTACAATGGTCTCATATGTTCCTAAAAAAATAGAATGGTACATTTATTATCAAGCCAACATGATGACGATAAAGTATGTGCAGACTTACAAAATAAGCCAAATATGATCATAGATTACAATGCGAGTAAGGGGGGCATTGACCATGCAGATCAACTTATTAGAGAGTATTCATGCAGCAGAAGAACAGCTCGATAGCCGTATAGATTATTTATGAACGAGATAGATATTTGTGCTTCAAATGCTTTCATTTTATACAATGAAAAAAATCCTGATTGGCAGAAAAATAATTACTCGAGACGACGATTATTTCTTTTACAATTGGGAGATGATCTCGCTCGGAACAATATGGTGAAAAGATCCCACTACAAAAATCATAAGGACCGTGTAAAAACGGCTCTACGAGACTGTCGAGTAGTAATGGAAGACCAACATATTCCTAAACCACAAGCTCCTGCTAGAAAACGGGCCAGATGTTATGAATGCCCTCGAAAAGATGACAGGAAAGTAAACATAACTTGCGCTGTTTGTAGTAAATTCATAGAGAAAAGGAGCAAACTTATGTATGTACCAAATGTTTCTCAACGTGAAATGTTCCGAAGGGTCATTTATGTTTGTTACATAATATGTTTATTATTTAAAATGTGTTTTTTTTGTCGTGGAAATATATACATATAACAGTATATTTTGTTATATTCGAAAAAATAAATGTTTCAGTTTACATCACTTTTTTCTAATTATATCTGTATCGTTTTTATTACAATTGAATATTTAGTTCAAAATACCTTAAAAAGCTTAAATTTTTCTTAAATACATTTGAAAAATTACAGAAACTTATGTTTTTGGTTGGGGTCCCTGATGGACCCCGTACCGGCATGTAGGTTGATGTTATGTGCACAGGCATTTAAGGGTTAAACAAAATATATGCCTTTCGTTATTAGCATTACTTACTGACCTTTTGTAATATTTTTAAAAACGGTGATTTTATTCTGATGAATAAAAAATTAGTTTAAAAAAATAAAAACTTGAGGATTTCCGTATAAAATTTTCTTTGGCCTAAATTTTAGATTAGGAACAATATGTCGAGATGCGGTTTTAGAGATCTTTCTTAGACATTATTTAGCTACTTTTTTACAACCAAAATCATGCCAATGCATTTGATTTTATTGAGAAAATTAACCATTTCTATCTGAATGTCAAAAGAGGCCCTCTAGCGGCCACATGTGACACTAACAAAACTTAAAATATTACATATAACATTTGTAGCCCAACTAGCCCAATTTTGTTAAAACCAGCTCAGCTGTTTTGAAGATACAGAGTGTTTTTCACGGAAACCTTTAAATACCCTCCACCACTTTATTTTTGGAGATACAGCAAAAATTGTCACACCAAAAAGGTCCAGATTATCCTCGAATTTAAAGATTAGGTATTTTTTGTTAGGTTAATATAGCGGAACTCACAGAAACATCACTTTTTTAGATTCAAGATTGCAGTTACGCCCCCTAGCGGCAATTTCAGAAAATTGAATGTATTTTCCAGGTTTTTCTCTTTTTCGTAATAACTTTTTTGCCGCAAGCCTTTACGATGGCTAGGTTCCCAGATACAGTACCTCGCAGATTCAGCTTTTAAATGGTATTTAACTCCAACCAGGATGTATTCATTTCCATTTATATAATGTAACGCCCTCGTATAACTGGAACTCTGGGTACCAAGGAGAGACGCCCTCGTACATCAACTATAAGATTCGACAGGTGGCCAGAAGTAGGATTGACGCTTAGGCAACCAGAATTATGCGAACATATATGGAGCGTGGTTCGCTACGCCATTGCAAATCTTCGACACGTCTGGAAGTGGATCCGCTGCCACGGTTACCACTTCCATGGAATGTTTCTCGACTCGTCTATAGGAAAATAAATAACTGCTTTCCTTATTTTTTGTCTTCGCTTCTCTTTCACTCACTAGGCACCTTAATAGAAACTACCTTTTTGATGATATTGTGGAGCTTGCGTCTGAGTGTGGAGCAAAGAGAATGAATTTAACCAGTTAAAATTAATGTAAAATTTTGCTATGATGGGTTCAATTTTGACTTGTAGATTGAAGCTGAGGGCAAACCTGTAACGCATCAGAAGAGCTCTGGACGTTGTTGGCTTTTCGCTGCTTTGAACGCCATTCGTTTGCCTTTCATCAAACACTTCAATTTAGAAGATTTCGAGTTTTCTCAGGGATACCTCTTTTATTGGGATAAGATTGAGAGGAGCAACTATTTTCTCCATGCTATTGTGGAAACAGCAAAGAGAAATGAAGCTGTAGATGGAAGGACTGTTGCTTGGCTATTGAATGTAAGTTAAAATTGCGTAAGTTTGAACTGTAAGAAGTTAGTTTATTGAATTGAACAATAATGGAGTTATTGGCCCTTTCCGCCCAGAACAGTAGATGATGTCAAGTTTTCATCACTTTTTTCAAGAAACTGACGACATAAAGCGAGCTGACTGTGGGTATCATTATTCATTAACATATTCTTAAGAATATACATATAATAATCAGAAAGCTAATTTTGACAGTTTGTAACTTAATCAACAATTTATTTGTTTCCAAGGATGATATTTTAGGGAATTAAGCCGTTCCATAAAAGAAGTGCTAATAACCGAAAAAATAGCCGTAAAAACCCTGTCTAGTATCAAAAAAGCTTATAAAAAACTGTTACCAAACTTGCACAAATATACAGGGCGATGCATTTGAAATTTTTGAGAAAATTCTACAATAAGATAAAAGCTGAGGTATGCAAGTTTTTTTGATACAAAATTCAGCACTCCAAATTTAAAAATGGCTAATTGAGGGGTTGCCGAAGTGGACGGTTTTTTTGGACAAAACACCTTACATCTCAGTAGCTAATTACCAAAACCCCATGGTATGTTATATCAATCTTCTTTTTTTGAATTGGTTTATCCAAATATGCAATAAAATTTGAGGCATTCAATTTAAAAAATCACAACTTTGATATGTAGGGCAAAATTGGGACACCCTGTATAATTGGCAATCTTTTATGCCGGAACCGCACGCTTGCCAAATCGTCACAAACGCAAACATGCGGATAGAGCGTTTGGCTTGGTTTGCGTGGGTTTGCAAGCGCTTGTAGCCAATCCGATCGGGTGTCGGTTTTTTGGTCGCAAATCAAAAGGAGTTTGCCACAAGCGTTTGTGACACATCCATACGTTTGTGATAGGTACTATTTTTGAAACTAAATATCAATTTCATTAAAACAAATACCATTTACCTGGTACGATTCATATGAATATTTAACATCCACCACCTTCTTGGTCGTACTTTTCGTTTTATCTGACTTTTTTTTTGTTTTATAATAAAAATGGCTTAAGCCAAATGCTACGGCAGACTCAAGTTCGACGTCCGTCATGTTTGCCTTTGCCTTTCAGTGACGCACCCGCAAACCTGTAGACGGCGACGTTTGCTTCTTCAAAAAAAAAAGGCAAGTGTTTGTAGGGGTTTGTAGTTTGCGGCAAATGGCAAGCGTGCGGTTCCAGCATTAGAAATGTGCCCTCAAATGTCATGTATAACATACCATAAATAGTTCACTTATTTGGTATGCCTTTTTGACGTAACCACCAAAAATTGTTAAAAGAACTCCATTATGTTTAGTAGCGTTTTATAAATATTTTTCAACGGCTTAGCGACACCGCCTCGGTAGCCAAGGGAAGTCTGCACATAGATCGCTATTTTTATTTGTAAACCAGTAATAGTCCAAGAGCCGACCGCAAGGTTTTGGTTACATTGCGTACTGATATGGGCTGATAAAAACTAGTCAAATCTTACGTATTTTGATGCTAAACAGCACTCTCGCCGAGATTGTATCGTATCATATCGCGATGATGCAACAAAAATTTACAACTGCCTTCACTACTATAATGCAGATGACTCTCAAGATCAATGGGTCCGGCTGGTGGATTATAAAGACATCCACGAAGTGTGTTCTTTTGGTATAACTACTCTTTGCTGAGGATTTGGATTGCCATTGTAGTAAATTATTTTCATTATACAGTGACTGAAGTTATTGGTCTACTATATGTGTTTTCTCATATTTGGCTAAATTCGTATCAAATAAAGTTGTTTTATTTGACTACTATTGAGTTGTATGGAAATATTTTTTAATAAAGTGATTCATAACAGTTTATTTTTGTGTTTACAGTCATCAGACCATCACTAAATCACAGCACATGTCGCATCAGTTACGATTTGTGTATCACATTGGAAACCAAACCTGAAACATATGTAGTTAAATTTACCTAGGTGCTTCGTAACACAAAACAGAAAAATTCATCGTATAACACAAAATTCTCTCAGGATTCCACTTTCCTTGTGTGTAACTTCATTTTCAAACAACTACATATTTGCTTCTTTATTCAACAAAACAAAACTATTGAACCATCTACTTAGCATACCGAACCATGGAGCTGTCTGGATGAAGAAATTTTATTCATTACAGTTTGTAAAAAATGTTCGCTAAGGTCAATCAAGTCACTCAAATGACAGAATCACGATCTAATGGCAATCTTGATATAAATATATGCTGTTGCCATTCCAAAGTTTAGCTCAGTTTTTGTTGAGCTGTGGTCGTGGAAACCCAACTGAGATATTAAGCTCCGCTTTGTTAAGCTACCAGCTAAGCAACTTGGTCCAACCGGCCTTAAGGACTACCTCCTGGTCAATGATCAGTTACTTTGAAATGTTTTTTCCTACCACCTTTTGGCATTTTCAAACCAGTTTGTAGACGCTTGCGCCGATTTCAGGATGGCTAACTCCTTCTGGACCACTCCACTTTCGTGAAATAGACTAACAATGTATTCATAAAACGCCACTCTCAGATCTGTACTTTGACTTAATTGCAAAATATAAACCAGGATCCAATCCCAGACGGAGGCCAATGGGATATGATTGTCAACCTAGTAAGGAAGCATGGTGTAATGCCGAAAAAGCACTTTCCCGAATCGTTTAGCTGCGAATCTAGCATGCGCATGAATCTGATATTGAAGAGCAAACTAAGAGAATGTGCCAAGGCGCTCAGGGACTTGGTGACTAAGGGAGCTAGCGATGCTGATATCAATAGCCTCATCCAAGAGCAGATGAGTGATATTTACAGGTACCTTAAAGTGTGAAAATATTATTTTTAGTATGAACGTAAACACTTGTGTCATGAACATAACTATATGATATCAAAAGATATAATCAGAGTTTGGGTAATCACATTTTTTAAGTAAGAGTATTCAGTATCTATCAAAACAGTATAATAAAGTATCAGCCCTCAAGTTAGGCAACAAATAACCTCAATTGTTTCTCTTTTAGGGTGGTAGGAATCTGTTTAGGAATTCCGGATGACACTTTCACCTGGGCTTATTATGACAAAAATAAGACATACCACAGCATTGGTCCCATAACTCCTAAGGAGTTCTACGAAAAACACGTCAAGCCATTATTCAATGTTGATGATAAGGTAAGACGCATATTTTTAGTTCACTTACATTTTTAATATAACAGTTATATTTACGATAAAATACAGTATTTATGCGTCATATTATCGTCCCATATTTCAGCTTGACCCATTAAAGAATAATTAGATGGAGGGGGCATTGCTGGAATGCACAGTATATTCATAATTTTATTTTGAAATCTATTCACTAATAGTCACTAACGATACTCGCATATTTTTACATAATCGCATTCGCAAAACTGCTGCGAATGTTTTGCGAATATAAGTATCAGAAAAAAAATACAATTATTAGATAATAGTACGTTAATAAAAACAAAATCCATTAATTTCATAGGTTTTTTAATACAAGATAAAGTAACTTCACCTCGTAAGTCTTCAGTTAATCATTTGGTATTTATTTATTTACTTTACTTTAGACAATGAGTCATAACAAATAAATTTTCATTGATCTTATAAGACAAACGAATATAATGCAATATAAATAAACAAAAACAAATTCTTCTATTAAAGTTTGATCAGTTTTCACTTAAGTTACATAATTAGCTTCGTGAACAAAATTAAAAACAATAATCGAAGAAATACAGTATTCTCGACAATAAACTATAAATATAATCATTTTTAAAAGGGTCATAAGTAAACACTTCAAACATACAAAAATTAAATGTAATTGAAACAAACAAAAACCAATTCTTCTATGAAACCTTCACCAGTCTTTAACTTACTGTTTAGATAATCATCATCTTGGATAAAACTAAAAAATGTAATGCACAATCAAACCAAAACGATATTCTTAAACAATAAACTATAAATATAGTCTAAACAAACAAAACAAAAAAACTACAGGAAACATATCTTTCCTTGTTCACTCACCAAGTGAAATTGTCTATGTCATTTGCCATGCGTTTTTCTGTTGAGTATTAGTCAATTCATTGGTTCTTTCAGATATACTCGTTTATCTATTTGGGTGTCTTCGGCTCCAGTTTCAAATACAGACGGAACACTTTTGGTCGAACGAGACTGCCATAGACAATTGGCGCCAGAACAAAAACTGAATATTCGCATTCGCGAATGTTCAAAAAATGACATTCGTTACATCACTAATAGTCACCACCCTCAATAATCAAATTCAAGCGGATAACCAAATGAAAATGGTATTTACCATTTTGGGTTGGTATTTATCGATCCGTTCAAGCGAGTGTGGTTATCAGTTTGGTTATAAGATCCGTGACGTCATGAATCAGCTGTTATATGTCACAGTTATCACCGCAAAATTGTGGTATTTACCCAACTCAGGAGTAGTTTTATATTTCTGGTTGTTACTTGAAATGTGACAAGTTAGAATTTTGCCGGGTATTGGATATTGTTATTGTACTTCAGCTTCATTTTTGGGAAACTTGATACAGGCTGACTTCAGTGTTAGCATAAAGTGGAGCACCTTATTAGTTATACTCATTGCTGTTGTTGGGAACACTTTCAATCTAGTTCCTATGTTTAACCAAGTGTCCGGTGTAGCCATATACCACAAGAATATTAAAATATGGTCATTTAACTCACTGGATGATGTCCACCTGTATACGGTTTTGCTAATATCTTTTTTCATCGTTTTTTCGTCATTTCTGCTAAATCAATAAATGTTTTCTTTGACATGCGGAAAACTTTAGAGAATTGAAAGTTATCATAGCTACAAAACCGTGGTTCCATCATTAAAATTTTTTTTCTGAAAAAAAAACATTTCTGCCATGAGTATTATGAAAGGTTTCTTATTTAAACTTTCCATACAGCGTTGTAGACAAAAAAGTACCGATTATTAAGTGATAATAAAAATAATCAGAGATTATATACGCACTTTTCTAAAATAAACAACTTGCAACAAAACCGCGGTTAAAACCAATGCGTTCAAGCGATTCGTGTATCTGACGTCATCAACCCGTGTGTCATCTTGAACCATATTATAACCGCGGCACATAACACAGAAATTTTGGTTATTCGCTTGGATTTGATTAATGTATAATATGCATAGTTTTAAGTTGCTGGTACAAAACCGCACAATTTGAATATAAAAATGATAACAAAATGATATATTGAGATACCTGAAGTTCGGGCATTTATTGTTTTATATTAATTTTATTCCTTGAAGGTTTGCTTAGTGACTGACCCCCGACCAACAAATGAATACGGCAAATCGTACACCGTTGATTGTTTAGGAAACATGGTGGGCGGAAGGCTTTGCATTTACAACAACCAACCAGTAGAGCTGTTGCTTGAGTTGACAGCTAAGAGCATCAAAGAGGGAGAAGCTGTCTGGTTTGGTTGCGATGTTTCCAAGAGATCCGCGTCCAAGCAAGGAATACAGGACCTCAATGTGTAAGTCTGTATTTGTTCATTTGTTTTCGGATTACAGACTCACTTTTACTTCCCATGACATGTACATGACGAAAAACCATGTCACTAATTTCCGTCTGTCTGTCCGGTAATCCTATAACCGCCTATAACTTCAAAAGTACCACTTGGATTTTGATGAAATTCTTACACAATGTTAGTACTATGCTAAGGACGAAAAAGCCTTGGAGTTTTTTAAAATCGGTCTAGTGGCGGCAGAGAAAAAACTTAGTTTTTTGACGTTTCAGAGGATGCTGATCATTTTTGAAAAAAATTGTCGATGTAAAAAGTTTGGGAGTCTGGGATTGTAAGAAGTGGAGATGGTATATCTCAATTTTTGATGTTAGTATATGTATACGCTCTCAACCTTCTTAATTCTACGCACGTATTAGACATATCTCACACATAGATTTCCCCGTACATTAACAAAACTTGGAAAACTATTCTCATCAGCAAATCGTGTACTTTACCCCGTCGTCTGCCTCTACTCTCGGCGTAGCGCTGGTCATGGTAAGTGTTATGGTCTTACTGGCGCGCCAAAGCGTATGCAGTGGCCGCGGTGTCACGTCTGACGCAAGTTAGGTATCGGGGAGAGGCGACGTTGCCAAAAGGTCTACCGGTAGGGCAGGGAAATGATGTCTGTGGACTAATTCTATGGACTTGTTCATCTGACTTTTTTCTTGGAGGGCCAAGTTTGTGCTGAACATTTTATTTATTTAGTATAGCCTAAGATAGGTTAATACACGGTACCGTGGATTTTTCAGGCAAAGACGATAATTGGCCATTGACTATAATAACCAAATGTTGACATAAAGACAAACGGATAGAAAATGTTGATATTTGTAATACAGAAAATGAAATTAAAACAACCAAGAGAAAACAAATAGTAAAATCTTGAATTGTGGAGTTGGCATGCTTCTTTAATCTCAGCAATATGTTTGATATATATCTCAACTTTTATTCACTTTATCATCATTGGCTGCTGTTTGACGGGCATTATCGTCATCTCCCGGCCATTGATGTTGCATCTGTGTCTCGGATGTACTTCCCTTCCTGGTTTGGATATCCCAAAATCGGGCGCTGATCCAATGCTGTTTCAATTGATCAAAGGCGCGCTGACAGTTTTCATTCCTCGGTGAGGCGGGTCAATAATTTCTCAGTGTTGGCAAAGGCATGAACAAACCGGGCGTAGTACGTGCACAGCTCAAGGAAACTTCTCAACTGTGACTTGTCTGAAGGATTCGGTCATTTCTTGATCGCGCGTACTTTCTCCGGATCGAGTGCAACCCCCATCCCCAGCCACGTGCCCCAGTTAGATTACCTTCTTCCAAAACAAACTGCATTTCTTCGGGTTCAGTTTCATATTCGTGCCCTGGAGTTTAGAAACACCTCTTCTAAATTCTTCAGGTGGTCGTTGAACGTCTTGCCTACCACGATGATGTCGTCCAGGTAGACAAGGCATGTCTCCCAGGTCAGCCCCGACAACAACTCCATCAGCCTCTCGAACATAGCAGGTGCGTTGCACATCCGGAAAGCCATTACCCTGAACTGCCAGGGTCCATGTCCGATTGTAAAGGCGGTTTTCCTTCGATCGGCAGGGTCCATCTCCACTTGCCAGTATCCACTCTTCATGTCCAATGTCGAGACGAAAACATACCCAGATAGCGCATCCAACGTGTCAGCGATGCGTGGCATCGGATCGCTATCCCTCTTGGTGACGTTGTTCAAGCGACAATCGTCAACGCAGAAGGAATCGATTGCAAGGCCAGAATCGAATAACTGAATGGCCGAAATGGCCCCCATGTAAAACCGTTCAGTTGACAGTTACTTCCAGATAATGCATTGAAACTATTATTCATTGTATCAAATTAAAAGTTTAATGCTTTTACAAATCAAAAAGATAATAGCATTCTCAGTTACACCTTAAATTAACGTTCCTTGACATATGACAAATTGTCGTAAAACATGTGACAGTTCTTAGATATAACACTTATAATCTGAAATGACGGGTAGCTGTCTCATAGGCAACTGCTGAGGCTCTCACTGAAGTCTAGTTTCCATCGGGATTATAACAGTTCTTTGATGTCTGTAACTACATTGTCCCTGCCTGGTCTAATTGTTGAGTATTGCTGCACCTCTGTTCGAGAGTAGTCCTTCAAGATGTCGTAACTCAATTGGATCACCTCATATGGCTCTGGTTTTGTCCTAGCTTCTTTTGACGCCTTAACATAGTCATTTGGTAATTTAATAACTATTTCTCAGTTTTCTTTAAATGCAACTGTGTACAGACACATTGCATTTAGGTGTGTCCTTTGGTGAGATATTTCTGAGAAATCACAACGTCGTGTTTCATTGCAAAGTTAAGAAAAATAGCACGCGTAATTGTCAGATAGCTGGAATTGCCGCTCATTGACAGACGTGTTGCCAGTGGTAGGTATTGTTTTGGTTGAATAATTCAAAAATTAAATTTTTCAGCAGTTAGCTGACTCTATCACAATGTGCGCTGTAGGTAAACAAGGAAAATTGTGCATATACCTCAAATTGGGCAAAAATGTCAGATATCAGGTATTGTCAGATGTTCGGCGATATATGTATGTATAATGAAATACTTACATACGTATGTATTGATGACATGCGAAAACATTTTTTTAATAACAACAAAATAACAGAAAACTTAAACAGTTTGAAAAAATGTTATGTAATAGTCGCCTGCTTAATTTTTTTTGCTTTGCACCATCACGACATTTCTGAAAATGACATTCCAAATTTTTAATTTGTTCAAAGGCAACATAGTCATTTTTTGCGAAGTTTTTCAGTTCTACATAAATTAAGGCTTCATCATAGCTTTTTACTTTATTTTCCTCTTCTTGAATCTCCTCAATTTCGTCATCAGTCTCATTTTAGATTAGATTCACCACCTAGTTCTACGACTAAATGTTCAAGCTCAGCATCTTCAGTTTCACTGTTTTGATCAATGCTAACATATTCATCTAAATTTTGATCGTTGGTAGTGTTCAGCTCATCCGCAGCTCGGACCATCGTTGCAAAAACAGATAATGGCAAGTCATCCTCGGGATCAAAATGAGGAACCTCTTGCCCAGCTTTTCTGAACCCAGCTTTTCGGAAACAATTTTGTATTGTTGTCTCATTAACATGCTGCCATACCATTTTTATAATGCCTCCAAAACATTTTTTTTTTTTGATAATTCGGAGGATGATTTTACACCATTCATATTTAATAAAGTATGTTTTAAAATCTGATCACAATAACGGAACTCCAAATTTTTAATGATACCCTGATCCAGTAGCTGGCACATGCTTGTTGTGTTTGAAGGCAAACAGATAATTTTAACAATTTTTACATGTAAGTTACGAGGATGAGATGCAGCATTGACTAAAAATAGCAGAATGTTTCTATTTTTAATGCCCATTTTTCAATCCAACTCGGCTAACCACTCACCCATTATTTCGCGTGTCATCCAGGCTTTTTTATTTGACTTCCACATAACAGGTAAATCCTTAATGTTTACATTTTTCAATGCGCGAGGGCGTGCCGATTTGCCAATCACTAACAGTTTTTCTTTTTGTCCAGTCATGCTTGCACAGAATAATATTCTTTCGATCATTTTCCCCCCGAACACGTTTCAGACTTTAAAGCCAGTGTCTTATCAGGAACCGCACGAAAATATAGACCGCTTTCGTCATAATTGTAAATGTCTTCACATTGGTATCCCAAAAGCAATGAAAGAGTTTCTCTATAAATGCATCGACTGTCTCTTGATTTACATCGGCCGCTTCACCAGAATGCATTTAAAACTAACATTGTTTCTTTTACGCCACTTTTGAAGCCACCCATCGGATGCACTAAACTTTTGATAACCATATTTTTGTGCAATTTCCTTTGCTTTTTCTTTTACAAGCCCCCCAGATATGGGTATTTTTCTATTTCTAGCACTAATAAACCACTCAAAACATGCTTTATCGATGTTTAACCCTTCAGTCTTACAAAAACTTCTTTTTTGTTGTTCATTTACTCTGGACTGTCACAAACGTCGGATATTCTCCTTATTTTTTGCAATCAACGTACGCTTGTGTCTTTACTATATTAAATCGCAATTCTATAGCCCGAGTTGATAAATCTTCCTTATCAATAAAATTCACAACTTCCATCTTTTCTTTTAGCGTCAACATTCGCTTTTTCGGCGGCATATTATTATAAATTAAAAGTGCACATTAAAACACAAACAACAAGACTAACACTGCTAAACTGCTACCTCTAAATTCTAATGTTGCACATCAACTTATGATCGTGTAGTACTGTAAATCCCCCAAAACCTCGCGGGGAATCACCGAAATGGCCATATTAAAGTAGTGGTTAAACTTTATTTGCTCTGTTATTAGAGCTTCGCGATCGCTTATACGAGATATTATTTTGTCCTATGTGCAAAATTACTGACAGCGTCCGTTTATTAGTTTCTATATTAAAATATAGAACAAAAATCGGTTCCAAAAAATTGTACAGCTTAAGGAAGATGGTCGCTTATTAGAAGTGCCCGTTAAGAGAGCTTTCACTGTATCTATATATTTTCAGGCATAATTTTCCACTTGTGTTTGGCGTTGATATACAAAAGACCCTTTCCAAGGCAGACAGACTGATCTATGGAGAAAGTGCAATGTCTCACGCTATGGTCTTCACTGCCGTCAATATTAACGTAAGTTATTGCTGTTCCCTAACTAGATTAACTTGGATGTCTCAAATCGCTACACCACATCTTGATATCAACTGTTGCTCTCAATTGCAAATATGAAATTCTGTTATCAATCAACTCCGGTGTTGGCGAATCTGAAACTAACTCCGTGCTTAATGGGGTATTATTTGCATTATTGCATTTTTTATAGCTGTATTGGAAAAATCGTACTTGAAATCCGTATATTAAAGTGAAGTCATAGCGGAGTTTGCAGGGTATATGAGACTGGGAAAAAAATGAATTTTAAACTGACAATTTTTTTTTGATACTAAAATAAATCATATCTCACGCGCTAAAAGCGCTAGGAAGCTAAGAAATAACTCTCGAGTTAGAACACCCGCAAAACGTGTGACATCATTTTATGAAAACAGAAGTTATTCGTAAAACCTCTAAGTTATCTCCTAGCTTTTATTACATTTTACCAAACTTTGAATAGCTTGCGAACCCTGTCATAAATCCTATATTTCCCGCCGAAGGCTCAACGTCATTCACCTAACATATGATGGAAGGCTAACCTTCTTGTAGACGTACGGCTACATCCTAAGGACAGGGCGCGGAGGAACTTATTACGTCACGCTAGAACTTACTACGTCACAGCTTTGGGTCGAAATTTTAAGATTCCTCGTTGGAGGGCAAGTGGTGCGTTTCCTCGTTCAGAGATGCAAATATACGACGATATAAAAAATATTTATTGCTGTAATATAATACGCGTGCCTGGATAACATGTTTCTTACAAACGTTAAAGTCTGTACAATTAATATTTGTTTATTTCAAGGATAATGGAGAAGTGACTAAATTTAGAGTAGAGAATTCATGGGGCGAGGATCGCGGCGAGAAGGGATATTTATTGATGACCACCGACTGGTTCAAGGAGTTTACCTTTGAAGTGGTTATAGATAAGAAGTTTGTACCTGAAGAGGTACTCAAAGTTTTCGATTTGGTACCCATCACTCTGCCGGCTTGGGACCCTATGGGTACTTTGGCCAAGTGTCAGTGCTGTTAGTAAAGTTACTTGTAGGTAAGCTCAAAGGAAATCAGGAATATTACGTTTTTAATAACATTTTTACAACTCAGATATTGGTGTAGACTTAGCCAGTGCTGCCATCTATAATCTTCGTTTATCTGAGTTTTGTAATACTAGTGACAACATATAATTTGTTGATGAGGAATATCTCCTTAAAATGATATTGGATGCGTTCTTTTTGCTTGCTCAGTTTAAATGAGATGACTTTTTCTTCCCGCTTAGCACCACTGCTTTACCAACACACCAATCTCATCTGAGTGAGATTTTTTCTCTCTTGAATCCCAATAAATAAGACACTGAATCTGGGTTTACTTATTGCGATCCTTACTAGAAAACTGCAAAAATGTTTAGCTTTACGTCTATCTTCATGATAAATTATAAAAGACATTTTTTAGGTTATTTTCTGATCGAGGTTAGCTCAACTGTTTTTTCCACTGATTTAACAGCCAAATTTCTGGACTGCCTCACTTCACTTGCAAAGAAACACATCTATTGTATCAATATTTTTGTAGTGTCTGATGAGTGTTTTTTTTTCAGGTTGATGCGGTCAGCACAGTATTTAATATACATATATTTTATCGTGTTTTGCCATTAGGTTACCATTCTTTTCATATTAATTATGGATCATCATCTGTAAATAAGGATCATAGAATGATGATGAATTAATTATATTTCAATTAATTGTTTTCATTACTTCACTAATAACAAATAGAAATACGTTTTTTATGTGTGACATGAAAAATTAACGATACCATGATGTAAAATATAAATTTTTGGAAACTAAAATATAGTTTTCTTTTTATTACCCCAAAATTTAAAATACTCATCAACCACGCTAACATAGGCATTACTACGTTTACGTGTACACCTCCAAATGGATTGTACTTGTGACATTTAAAATTAAGATGAACCGTTTTGAGGTATACATTTAAACGTAGATATGTCAGTATAAGAGATGCCTTAGGTCCTGTTAATGCACCCACGGACATCTACTACACCGTTCGAGCACCGTTAATTTCACCTAACTATAGTTATTTTCATGTTAATTTCAATGTCATGCGAAATAAGTATTCAAATTGACTTACTGTACCATGTGCGGAGCTTAAATTTCCGAAGGGAAACTGCAAAAATTCTCAAGCCGATCGTTAACGCTACTCCCTCTTGCACACACACACAGACACATTCATTGGATGATAGAATACCTTTGTTTTCATCCATTTCCCAAAATACACGATTAAATGTAACACAAACTGTTGTTGTTGTTATACAGGATGTTTGGAGGGTGAGTAGCCAAACGGAAATGGCTGAGGCTATTGGCTATTTATATCGCCTAATTAATTTACATTTACAGTTTAAGGAGAAATGATTTTTCTTTTTTAAGAAAATCCACAGTTTTTAAATTTGTTTCAATATTTTTTCTATGTACGGTCGCAACGGCGCATAATTGATTTTATTCTTAAGTCTACTGTTACTTCATTCAGATTCAACCAACATTTGATACAAACAGTTGAAGAACAAGTAACATTGGAGCAACAAACTTCCTTAAATCAATAGTAAAAAATGTTACGTCAACTTTACAATAAGCAGAAAAAGAACAAAAGAGTACGGGGTTTTCAAATGTGATTAAAAACTTATCTAGTATGCCGCATGTAAAATAAATGATTGGATAATTCAACAAAAAATAAATCTTCAACGATTCGTGGTAGTGTATGCAGCCTTCATTACACTCCTGTGCAAGGTCTCGAAGAAAATGATGACTACCAAAGACGCGTTCAGCCCACATTATTTACGGGACAAGTTGAATGGGCAAAATTATCTAATTTTTTTAATAAATGATCTGCCCGAACTCATGCACGGAGTTCCAAATTTTGAAAATGAAGAACCATTGACATTCCAACATGATGGCTGCACATCGCACTGGATATTAGCAGTCCGGGAGCACCTAGACAATGCATTTCCCAACGCTTGGATTGGCAGAGATGGTCCAATCCCATGGCCTGCAAGATCGCCGGATTTGACCCCGATTGATTTTTACGTCTGGGGCCGTGCTAAAGCACTAGTTTATTACGCACCCGTTAATACAAGAGAACAATTAATAGAAAAAATTAATGCATTTATGATAATCAAACGAGAAATAACACTACAGTATACCACAAGAGAAATAAGAAAGATGTTATGCATGCATTAGAAATGATGGAACTCAATTTGAACAAGATTTACAATAAACTGAGCAAAAAGAGAATAATAGGTTTACCTTTGTTATAATGTACCTGCTCAATTAGGTAATTGAATTGATTTGGCTGCATCCACTATCACGAATCGTTGAAGATAAATTTATTTTTTGATGAGTTATCTAATATTTTTTTTATTTAGAAAGATTGTTAACTAGAGAAGTTTTTAATTACACTTGAAAACCCCGTACACTTTTGTGTTATTTTTTTTGCTTATTGTAAAGTTGACGTAACATTTTTTGCATTGATTTAAGGAAGTTTGTTGCTCCACTGTTACTTGTTCTTCAACTGTTTGTATCAAATGTCGGTTGAATATGAATGAAGTAACAGTAGACTTAAAAATAAAATAAATTTTGCGCTGTTGCGACCGTAAATATAAAAAATATTGAAACAAATTTAAAAACTGGGGATTTTCTCAAAAAAGAAAAAATGTTATTTCTCCTTAAAACTGACGCATAGTGTAAATTAATTACTCACCCTTCAAACACCCTGTATCTTGTATTGCTATGTTTTATATCTAAGATCTACAAAACGTGAACTCGCACGCTTTTTTGTCATACTGACAATGATAGGCTTAAATGTGGAAGTCTCACACGTTGACGAGAAAATGTTTAAGGCGGTGAGACGAAACAAAAAGGGTATGCACGTGACCTTACATAAACAAACGCCCGAGCATGGATTGCAAATGTATGTGTGATGGAAATGAATGTAAAATACCTATACTGTGTGTTTCAAATTCTACCCTTTCCATTGGGATCTCGGTATCGGTAAGAGATACGAAGTCGATTAAATGGGGGCAAAGGCGTATTTACTAACAAGATGCCGCGCAAAGATTTTCGAAATTCAAAGTGCTTCCGGTTTTAATTATTCTTGACTTTATTTGTAGTCACATTTCAAAATAATTTTAACATTGCCACTTGTTCTCCTTTACAAGATAGCATAATTAGAATTAAAATATGACGTTTCGTCTTTTGACCTCCAGCATCAACTTTATTTTTTCTTATAGACGCCATATTGGATTGGTGTATACAGTTTATAATTCTGATTAAAAAAATGTATAACATCATTGGCATTGCCTAACCTTAGTTATTTCAGAGAAGGAGAATTTCCTGGGTAGGCGTTGAAACTATCAGATAGTCGTATGTGTAGTATACCAGACCGGCAGGGGTATTATGTAAAAAACCTAAAAACACGTTTAAGACCACGTACATCAAAATCTACCACAGTTCACAAGTCTACAACAGCTTGTGCTAAGTTAACAACTTGTAGAAAAACCGACGTTATGTCGCAAAAAACCTAATGTCAAAAAAAAACGACGATACAGTGGTGTTCAAAACATTTTTTAAAACCAATAATATAATTAAACGTCATAAATATATGCCACTTAAGCAATCTATGATCTTATACAAATTAAGAATATTGTTTTCTCTTTTAAAACACAATGAACATTATAATATTAATAAAGACTTGGAAAAATAAGAAATAAACAATTCAGTATGGTGAAAATACAAGTGATTCAAAAAATAAGAGTAAATAGATAAAACAGAGCGAAACACTGCATTTAATTAACATATTTTTATTTCTAATTAACGAGTATTTTTAGTACTTGATAGTGTAATCCTTTTTCTTCAGGACAGCACCACATCTGCTTGGCATTCAGTCGATAAGTTTGTGACAGGTTTAAGGAGGTACTGAATACCATGTTTCTTGAACTTCTTCCCAAAGGAACTTTCCTTCTAAGGATTCTCTGTCGGATTCAGGTCGGGAGACTGTGGAGGATATGGCTAAACTTCAATTTTCTTCGGCTGGAACCACTGTTTTACTACCTTTGCTGTATGCTTAGGATCATTATCCTGTTCGTAGATCCAACGTAGTGGCATATTTTCCTCAGCATAAGGTAGCATAACATTCTCCATGATTTGTAAATAAATTTCCTTGGTCATATTTTATTTTATCCAAAAAATAGGTGTAACGCCGGAATATAAAAAGCAACCCCATATTTTGATGTTCTCCGCCATGCTTAACAGTTCCTATTGTGTAGCGAGGATTCAGTTCCCTAATTAGACCTGAAACAAATTTATTTTTGTTTCATCGGTAAAAGGACAGTTTTCGAATTGCGACTGTAGGTGCCGTTTAGATTATTCCTTGCAAACTATATTCGTTGCAGAATTTGTATGCTTTTTAGATAATAGGGGAACTCTTCTGGCAACTCTGCAATGAAGATTCATTTCTTGAAAAGTCTTCTTATTGTTCTAGTGCTGATAGATAAGCCCAACTGACCTTTTATAACGAACGAATTACAAAATGGATCTCTAACAGCTTCACGAGCAATCCTTTTATCCATGCGTGGCGTTGTTTTTCTTGGACGACCTCTTCTTTCTGGTTGTTTCTCAGCAGTTTGTTGTTCTTTTAGTACTTTAGCTATCACACAAGGGGATTTTAATTTAAATTATTATGGTAAAAGCATGAAAACAAGAAAATTGAAAGAAACCATAAATAACTATGGGTTCAAGCAAAAAATTGAAGAGAGTACCAGAATAACATCATTATCAGAGACTTTGTTAGATCTTGTTATTGTAAATTTCGAATGTGCAGGGATTAAAGCTGTACATACACCTAAAGTTAGCGATCACAGTTGGACAATGCTGCCCTTGGTAGGGCATTTTTATGATACAAAAATTAAGAAAATCGTAAATACTATTAAGTACGAAAAACTTGAACGAGAACTTGCTGGCTGCTATTGGAATTTTGGTGAGAATATGGAAAAAATATATGACAACATAATAGGAAATATAAAAACTTGTTTAGATCTTGCAACTGATAAAAAACTGATTTGCTCGACAAAAAATACACCCTGGTATAACAAGAATATTAAGGTAGCTCAAAATTTGAGAGACAAACAATACAATAAATGTATATTCACAAAATCAAATGATGATTGGGAGGTATATAAAACTCTTAGGAATAAATGTGTATATGTAATTAGAGAAGAAAAAAGAAAATTCTACGATAAACAAATCGATAATAACAAGTGCGACAGTGTAAAGATGTGGAAGACTTTAAAAAGACTGATCAATTCGAAGCCGCATGATTGTGTAAATCAAGTTCAATTCGAAAACGGTACCGAAACAAATTCTTTGGTGATTGCAAACAAACTAAATGAATATTTTGTGGAAAGTATTGTTGATATTGTAGGTACTGCCAATGCTGCACCTGACTATATGAAAATCAGTTTCCAGGGGGAAATGTTGCATACACTTTCAAAATTTCACAGCGTATCATTGAATTATCTAAGAAAAAAAGTAAACAGTTTAAAATCAAATAACAACTGTGCCGAAATGATTACTAAAAACGTGCTGAAAAACTGTTTCGAAATTTTGGGATATCCTGTATTAAATTGGATCAATTGTTCACTGAGAAGCAGTTCTTTTCCTGAAAATTTGAAATGCTCTACAATAACACCAGTTCCCAAGATAAAAAATTCTAAAAGATGCAGCGATATGAGACCAGTAAATGTGTTACCAGACATTGAAAAATTATTAGAGTCCATAGTGC